CAACCCGTGCTTCCTGGAGCCATCTCTGGCTGCGTGCGTTACCATTGGTTTTGCTAGCCAGTTAGCCAGCTTGTTCTTTAGCAAGATCCGACTCAGGATTATGCCAAGACCAGACGACGCGGCCAAAATGCACACACAACCCAAAGCCCTCTAGCAAGTCCTTCTCGATGGCTGTCCACCCTTTGGTCTCCTCTATAGACTTGGCGCAACCTCCGTCGATTTGATCTTCTTATTTTCCGTCCTCGACCGGCGGGACGTGGCACGGCATGGCCTACTGTTTCGGTCATGTGCAAACGCCATCCTTACATATTTTCGTCCACATCTCAGAATTCGAAAACAGGGCTTTCACGGAAAGGTGGCCATGAATGGAAGCAGCACCAACTAGGAGCAGCACAACCAGTCTGCCTGGGTACGGATATGTAATAAAGGCTGCTCTGCTTCTGCCATTGTGAGTGATAGTATGCATACATCGGTATGTCATATAATCTGTGTTTATCGATTTGCACGAAAGACATTCCCCTGGTCACCCGAGCCGAGGATTCCATACCATCTCACTCATATACCCTCATCCCCACGCTCTGTCGTTTCCTTTGCATCTTCAACATGCATTTGCCCTCTCCACAAAAGGACTCCACTCGCCGTCGATCCGTCTGAAGAATACCCACCAAGTTTTTCGCTTGTTTCCATCAACCCCTTCCCCGTCTCTTGCGGCGATTCATCAACCGATGCATCCAGTCGCATTTTGTTCACTTTAAATTGAGTTTCCAAATGCCTTCTGCGATTTGACAAATGTTTCGGATAGAGAAGTCTACAGAGTGCAATGCACAGGATGGATAGTCTTCTTCCAAGATTGAGTCCGCCTGCCGCCCTTGTTTCTCGTCGTGCCAGATCCGTCTACCAGACTACAAAAATAAAGTACCTCTGAAGTGGTATCAGACAGATGTTCGGATGACCAGGGCAGACAGACCATCGAGGGGTCGGACCAAGAGCGGATCAGGCCACGTCTGGTCTGACCTGCGGGCCTCGTCCTGCCAGGAAAGACAAAAAGCAACTTTCTCTGCCGTTGTTAACGAAATACCAGCTGATGCACCACGCCATGGCTCTTTGTGCAACAGACGAAAAGAAAGAAAGTCGTTCGAAAAAGAACGAAAAACGAAAAACGAAAAAAAGGATAAATTAGAAGGAGGGTGTACGGAGCACCTTTCAACAAAGGACAACCAATCGCCCAGCAGCCGGTGGCTTAGATAATGTTGCCGTCAGCAGTCACGTATTACCAATTACTCTTGATTACTCTCAAGATTGTTTTTCTGCCCTTACCCTTCAGTTGGGGTCCCTTGGGTACGGATCGCGGTTACTTGATTTTTTATTTTCTTTTCATAGTGATTATCGAACTCATTTCCGACGATCCTACGAGGATGACGAGAGGTTTGCAACCGGGGACTGGTGTCCTGTTTTATTTTTGGGACCCAAGCCCGCGTTCATCTAATAACAACAGGGTAGGATAATGTGCTCTGAAAGATTAAAATAGATGTATGAGACGAGAGAGCGAGGAAAGCCTGACAAGGATCAATGAGACGTGAGAAGATTGAAAACAATCAGGGACGAGTCAGCTGGTCGAGCAAATACGGACGTGGAACCAGAAAGACAAACAGTCCTATGCGAGCGGAATGAGTACGAAGGCCTGGGACGATAACGGCAATAAGGACATGAATTAACCAAAAAGAAAGAAAAAAGAAAAAAAAAGAAGAAGAAAAGAAAGAAAAGAAGCCTCCTTTGACCGCGTCGTTTCTTCTATGTTTGGTCTACTTCAAACCAATGCTTCCTGTTCATCGCTTGTCCACTCCAATTGAGACGACAAGAAGGAAGCTAAGAGGCGTTGAAGGTGGTGGGTTGGGACGAGAATAGCAACATACAAGGAACCGGATGACGAGGCACAGGCACGCAATGGAGCTTGCAAAGGGCGAAAAAATGGGGCAAAGTGGACACCGTTGGCGCGGAGTTGTCAATGCGCTGTTGTACTACTCCACAGTTGTACTGCCGTTTAGGGCACTAACAAGTCCCACGAAACGTCCAGCGTATGATGGATTGATGGATGGCTGTTTTGAAAAGTCACCAAAGGCTCTCCAGAAACGACACATATAAATACGAGGCGGTGATGAGGCGACGACCGAATATATCGTGCACCCGGGCTCTCGCGCTGGGGGCAAATAAAATGCAATGCTGCTCAACACGAAGTGTGCCTTGTTTTAACGTCTTTTTGTTTCTTTTACGTTCTGGCCCCGGCACTCGGCCGCGTCTCACTCGCCTTTCTTTCCCGGCGGAGCGCATTCTAGGCTCGGGCCAAATATGTGACATATGCTGATGGCGACACAATGGGCACTTCTTTCGGTTGGTGAGCGCCAGGCAAAAAAATTTATCTCAGGGAATTAAGGGAAGCAAAAGAGAAGCAAAAGACCTTGACATACTTTAGAAGCCAATTATTGCACCCGGTTTGTCTCACATATTATCTGCGCCTGACCTGTCATCCAGGGAGCATACTGAATATGTCTTCCTACCTCCGTCCATCTCGGTCGGGACGGGCACGAACGTGTTGCCTCACCCTTGCATTTTATTTTATTTTATTTTTTTATTTTTTAAATATGCCTTGTATTTCCCTTCTATTCCTTTACTTTCTATCTCATTCTTATTTTGGACGCAGTGTGAGAAAGGTCTCTCCTTGCTAGTAGACTCGCTCGTCGAGGCCGTGTAGGTCAGAAGCCCGGCTCGCGCCTCTAAGCCACGTCTATTTTAGCATCACCGCGCTCAAACGACCATCAGACTGCTCACCCTATTAGTAGGGATGCCCTATATACTGCCGAATGCCTGCGATATCCCTGCGTCAGGGCGTATTGTATCGACGACGTATAGAGATTGCATATTTGACAACATGACCTAAAAGAATGTTGCTAGTGCACCTGATGCAGACGACGTACGCGTACATCAATCTGCGTGGGAATCTATGTGCCACGCTTCACGTTCGTGTTCAGTTCATCACATTAGTTCCTCGTATTTTGCACACTATTTTACCTCGTTTGGTTGTTGCCTAGATATGTATGCTGGAGTCAGCGACGTGTGAGTTCAAAATTACGAAGACGGTCCGGAGAGGCCGCGTAAAGGGCAACAATATGGCATGATATCGCTAAAAGAAAAGACCTCACAAGAGCCAGGTATCTGTTGCGCATTTCGGATGCCGTAAAAGAAGAGTCGGGCGCTGACAGACTCGGTGCCGAAGAACAACGGCCATCGCAGAGACAAAACACTAAAATGCATTCGGGCAAACGAGACCATTGACCTGGTTGCATGTCGCATTCTGCACCAGCCGTTTGTCCCGTTCATGCGCAGTACGAAGCTGCATATCGCGTTGCATAGTGCATTGCATGGTTTTTCTGATGTACTTTAGCATTTTGCATTGTCCAGAAATTCTGTCGGCAGAAAAAGACGCGTCTCATCTAAATGAAGACACATAATGAAAAAGACTGGCTGAGCAAGTACCGGTACATCCAAGTAAAGACCAATGACATCGTAGCCATGTCTTTCTAGTAAATACTTTGGTCATCACGAGCTATCGTGTCGACGTGTTTGGTACGGCATCTTCCGTGTCTACGCATCTTCACAGCTGCTCAATCATTAATCAAATTATCATTCAGATGTTCTTCTACAGGCTACGGCACTGTCTAAATGTTCAATGAGAGCATTGGCTGCTCGGGGGACCAAGTATGCCGTAGACACAAAGTACGAGCTCATAAAGTAGCCCGCCTGTACGCTGGACGCTGGTAAGTGTGGTGCCCTGTGTAGCCCTCCGTTGTCGTTTTGTTTTGTGTATATGTTTGCATGGTGGGACCATCGAATGTCTTTGATATCAGTTGGATGTCCTCGATATTTGTCCCTTGGCTTCTTCCCCAACGTCTTTGCCCGACCGTGCAACCGTTGCCCAATGACGAACGAAAAGTGTTCTAAATTCTTCGATACGAAGACTCAGAAGAGTAGACAGAAGGAAACTAGGAACCGAGTTGCCACTTGCTTGTCCATCCTTCCCGCTCATGGACACTATCAGTGTCGTTGCCAGGCTTCCAAAAGGTACGGATCTGGAAGATGTACAGGACATGATCTTAAGGTCATCGTCTCGTCCGCTTTCAAGCCTCCTACAGTGCCACATATTTGTGTTTTGCGGTTTGAATAGTGTACGCCCTCCATTCGGGCGTTGCTCGCTGTCAGAATCACGTCATCTGATGATAATGGCGAAACGCTGTTGGGCGTGGGCTTCCAAAGGTCCAGTTGTAGTTTGCTTCGTGCCCTTTTTTATTTTTTATTTTTTATTTTCATTTTTCATTTTAACATTTTGTTTTTTAATCTTGCTTTGTGTTAGCCGTCTCTTGTATGAATGTCTCGTGTTTCCTTCTCGTCGTTTCTCGGTGTCGTGGCCTATTCTATGTGAGGCTGCAGCGACAAGGAAAAGGAAAAGCGAGTGGTAACACTTAACAATCACTGGGCACACTGCCACCCGGAGGATGACTCTCCTTGTTTTTCAATTCCAACATGTCCTCGTTCTGATATCCGTGACCACGTTATCGTGTACGTTCTCTATTTTTGATCGTTCCCTTTGTCGGCCATTGCAAGTTGGCAGATCCATTCAATGCTCTTGCCTCCGGAGGGTGTACTTTTCTTCGTACTCGACTCACACATCCCAAATTTCACGAGAGCCACGTCAATCCGTGAAAGACTAACACGTCTATGAAAAGCAAACACAGAAGACACACACCAATGGAAACCTGTACATGTATGTATGCAACAATGTGGCCCTGGTATTATGAAAAAAGTAAAGAATGCAAGCGCAGGACTCGTAGCCCGGAAAATGCAAGTTCGAGGAAATAAACAGACTCGCAGGCAAAAGTTGCAAGTTGCACAAAAAATGCTAGGTAAAAAAACATGACAGTAGACATGGACATACCAAAGCAGCTCCCTCACAACTGCACGCTGGTGGAGGGGGTGCGGTTGGATGGCCCACGGAGATGCGCCGACGAGCCTTTGAACAGGCTCTGCCAGATGTAGGCCTCGCTCAGCAGCAGCTCAATGTCCTTTTCCGTCCAGTCGCGCGTCGGCAGCGACTGCAAGAACATCATTATCTCCTGAAAGTCCATGCCACACAGCTTGCTCGACCACTTGACGAGAAACGCGGCGCAGACGTAGAGATGGAACTCGGAGAAGCCGTTTTCCTCAGCCTGTCATAATATGTCAGCTACATTGTGTGCCCTCATATAGAAAAAAAAGGAAAAGGAAAAGGAAACGAAGAAAACAAACACAAGACCAGGAACAGGAGAAGGCGAACGACGACTTACCATATATGTATCCCACATGCGGATGGTGTTCTTGACGCTGATCTCGCGCATCAGCAGGCAGTTCATCCACCGGAAACTGAACTGGATGAACTCGACGTGCTCCTTCTCCAGGTGCTGGGCCAAGGGCGCATCGATCCGCGATGTCAGGTCCCGCAGCGCAGCCACCTGCCGCTGGATCCCCGGCTGCGCCACAATGTAGTGGTCTTGGATGCCGTCCAGCAACTTGGTCAGACACCAGAACGAGTCCGCCTCCACCGCATCGAGCACCGCCCGAGGCAGCTGTCCAGGGTCCATGCCCGTTTCAATGTCCGGGTCGGCAATGTACACGCCCAGAAACACCTGCCAGAACGGCGTCACCAGATCGTTGATGCCCTGTACGTAGCCGCTCGCCGGGTGCCGCACCGCCCACACGTACAGGATGCGCTCCAGGGACCGCTGCGTCGCCTCGTACCCGTAAAGCTCAATGTGCGGGTTCGTCCGCGGCACGTCAATGCTGATCTGGTGCCACACGGCCTCGTCCAGTCCCCGGCCGCGGTTGCTTGAGGGCATGTTGCTGGCCGACGCTTTTTGTCCCGCCGCACTGCCGGACAGTCCACTACCACCACCACCATTACCACTCCGGTCAAACGCCTGTCGCACACCATCCAAGTATTCCTTCCGTTTCCGTTCCAGCGTGGCCACCCGGCGTTCACTACTGGTCGGGAGATAGCTCAGGAGCAGCTGCCAGGTCATGGCCCGTACCTCCTGCGGGATGCCCGACCAGGCCAGGGACCGTAGGTCGGCTAGCGGGATGGTGGACGCCTGCAGCAGCTTCTTGAAACGGTTGATTCGGTGTATTCGCGAGTTGATCGCCTCAATCTCCTTTGTGGTCGCGTTTGGTGGTATGGCAGTGTGGTCAATCAGGTGTAACGCGTTGGCTGGGTCGCGCAGAATGTCCTTGTACTGCGGCCGCAGGATCTTGCCTTCGCTCTTCTTGGGAACCGGGTAGGACGGCGCGGGACGCTCGACAGCGATGTCGGCACTGTTTGAGTAGCGCCGGGTCTGCAACCCGCCGAGGGGTGACGCCATGTCATCGCCGAAGTCGTCGTGGTCCAGTGTCGCGAGGGACGCGCTATGGCTGCCGCTCTGGCTGTCGCCGTGACTGCCGCTTCCGCCTCCAAAACTGCCACCCAAACTGCCACTGATACTGCCACGGCCACCAAGACCACGGCTCGGTACTGTGGTGGAGCGTCTGTTACCTCCACTACCCGCCTCGCCGCCTCCTGCCGCGGCCGCCATCCGCCTTGTTCGTCGCTTCATATTGGACAGGCTCGGCAGGCCAAAGTCGTCGCCGTCGTCTTCATCGTAGCCGTACACATCGTCCGACTCGTCGGCGTTCCAGTCGTCGTCGGTGTTCGTCAGAAAGTTCTTGTAATTCCGCGGGTTCGACTTGGACGCGCCGTGTTTTGGTGGTGGTGTGTTGTGGCTGTTGGGGGCGGTGTGCTGCTTGCTGGAGGAGGGTGGAGTTCGTGGCCGTCCAGAGGACGAGCTTGATATGTTTCTACAAACTCCGGGTCAGTAATAAAGGACCCTAGAAGCAGCTCAGTACCCAGAGTCCGAATCCCAAAGTCCATCGGCGACATACAGAGAATCAAACTTGAGAATGTCGGCGTGCGAGTAAGCTGCTCCGACGACAATACCGGGATCGCGCCGCCCGCCGCTATCGGAGCTCGTCTTAGGCGCGGTCTCGCGGGGCGGCGGTCGCCAGAAGGGTGATGTGGAACTGTAGATGTGTCAGTACGTATGCATGACAGCAGCGGACGCACAGGACAGGCGCAAAAAGCACTTACTCGGCTCTGTCTGCGCGAGAGAACGAAAGCAGAAGGTTAGTAAACAAACGGCGCATTGCAGTATACGACAAGGTCCGACGTCAACATACCAACTTGCACCATCTCCTGTTGCTGCTGGGAGCTTGTCAGCACGGAGCACTGTCACATAGACTTGAGGAACATCAGTCAACATGCAAGGCAGCTCACCTGCTGATTCGGCGGCTTCTTGCCGCCGCCCGAGGAAGAGAACATCTCGGAGTCAGCGCTGGGCACGGCTCTGCTGCTGGGGCGGTCGCCGAGACGGGTTCATATGCTCATTGTGGACAAACGGCCAGGCAATGGAAGGTCAAGCTCGATCAGACGGTCGGTCAACGGCGGTCACGAAAGGTCCGCAAGACGGTGAAAAAGGAGAGGGGCGAGTCCTCGGCCACGAGTATAGGAGCTGTGTCGATGGCGAAGCGGGTCGGTCTGCAAGTCCTGCTGCAGTGTGCGAGCGCTTGTTGTCCGTTTCTCAGTCGTTTGGGAGCTCAAAGGCACATCGACGTCACTCTCAATGTCCGCTTTCGTCTCGTCGTTCGCTCCGCAGGCGGCTTGCCCAGGTTCGAGGTGAATTGGCTGTTGTTGAGTCCCACTAGCCGGTTTGGGGCCAGGTGGCTCACAGGCGGGGGATTGCGCATGTGAGCGGTGGACCGGTGCCGTGCATTATACAGTATGTTTTATTTTCCGCACAGTATGGTTTTGGACGACTCTTAGCCTCAGGCAGAAAGATAGCCCCGTGTGCACCGGCTCGTTGGTTCCTTCCTCACAACAGCATGCTACATTAGTGAGCTCAGGAGGGGAAGGTGCGATGATGCGGCGCCCTCCGAACCCAGTAAGATACCTAGCTGCCCTGCCCTTTTCCTTCGTTGAAGCTAACCCGCAGCGCTCCGCTCAGCTTCCTACAAACTTCTCTTCTCTTTTGCACCCATCGTCAGTCCAACGTTCCAACCAGCCTCCCTGTATCAGCATTTTTGTATTTTATTTACGACTTGCGCCTCTTTCGCATTTGCGCGAATTGTTTGTTGTAGGATAGAGAAAACGAACAGCTCTCGGCGCACAGCTTCGCGACGCATCGTCCCCGAAACACAGCCGCGACCATGACAGAGCCCGAGAACTTTGACGACGAGCTCTTCGCCGACTTGTGAGTGTTCATCAGCTACGTGGATGGGAGCAGCGCGAACTCTTCTGGACTTGATGGGGGCATCTCAGTGGCAGAGAAGGGCGGCCGAATTGAATGCGTTTGCTGACGTGTCTCACCCACAGGTACAACGATGACGAACCCTCCGCACCCCGAGCGCCCGCCGCAGCGCCCGCACAAGCCGCTCCGCCCGTAGTTGCATCATCTGCCGCACAGGAACCGGCAAGCAATGACAGTTACGGCGATGACGCCGGCGGCCAGGGCGTTGGCGACTACGACGACTCTGCTATGCAGTACGACGATGACGACGACGAAGTGGACTTCAACCTTGGCAACGGCAGCAGCAGCAATAAGAACGCTGGTGCCGGCACAAACGCCGGCGCAGGAACTGGTGCCGGATCCGGTTTTGGGGCTGGTCAGCATTCAGAAGAGACACCACAGCCAAGCGGCGGTGGCCAGTTTTCTGGCGGCCCAAGGCCAGGACTGCTGGCGAACAAGGTTGGTCCCAACTCCAAAGAAGATGGGTACGTATTTTTCCTTTGCGATGACGATTGTTGCGTTGCGAGGGCCACCTCGTCTTATGGTCGATTGCGTTCGTGTATCTTTTGCGTGGCACTTTTGGTTCTTCATTTGTTGCCTAAACCCCATAAGTTTCAAGTGTTCAATTTTTCCCTTGCGGCTCTGGTTTGAAGAGGGGGGAAACTGCTGGTCTCGGTCAGTGATTTGGACAAGAAAAAAGGAAGAGAAATACAACCTCGATTTGCCAATGGGGATGCAAAGGAAAGTATGGAGATGTTTGGCGGGGAAGCACTCGGGGGCAGCTTCTGATCCTGCGGTCGGCTGTGGCCGAAGCCAAAGAGCGAGGTCAAGCCTGGCGAGCCTTTTGTCCTTTCGAATCCGAGCCATTTCAATTTCAATGAGCTCCAAGGCACGAACGTGTTTATACTCTCTACCCGCTGTATATCTGCCCATAGACTGGTTGGGTGCCTGTCCACTGGCCTCCATGGCGGAGCTGGGGATGACAATGCCCAGACAGGTCGTTTTCCGTGCTGAGTAGCCAAAAGACGAGACGGCCATTGGCTCCACGCTGGTTTGTTGTATGCAAAGAGCTGGACAGACAGGAGCACTTCAGACAAGTACCTAGCTTTTCGGTAGCCATGACTTGCCAGAGAGCCCAGACAAATAAACAGACAGCAAGCAGACAGCAGACAGCAGACAGCAGACAGCAGACAGCATATCCGCAGAAGCAAACAGACAGTCAGACAGCTCTTCAAGAAAAACAGTCAAAGAAAAAGAGTGTTCCAGACTCACAAAAGAAGAAAGAAGAAGAAAAAGAGTCAGAGAATAGGAGGCCAAAAATGTCAAGGCGTGTCCGATGCATCAACAACAACACACCGCAACTCTGAACAGACAACCTGTGTTGCCGTGTGAAATGCTTTTGCATCACCGTCTATCTTGTCACTTTGACCTTTTATGTCTTTTGAGTCTATTGTCGCCATTGTGTTTCTTGCATCGGCCTCCTTTGTATTCTGCCTCTCAGCCCAATCCGCCTCCCAACCCTGCTATCACTTTGTCCTCAGGTCGTTCTCACCTTTTTTCGCCCGAACATTACTGCGTACTCCTAACTTTTATGACTTTTCTTGTTTTGCTTTTCCTTGTGTTTTCTTTGTACGCTGTCAAAACCAAATGCCCAATTGCTTTCCCACTCCCCGAGTTCCTCTCACAATACTTCGTCCGACAAAAAACCTGCGTCAACATCACCCGACTACACCTCATTCCATTTCAGCACGATGCCGCCCGACCCTGTGCTTTTGCGGAGCGACAGGTTTGAATTCTGTGAGGTAGATGATTTGCTTCACGTCTTCACCGCACAAACCGCCCATTTACCACCGCCTCCCGGCTACGCCAACTGGGCCGCAAGTGCCCTGCCGTGGACGCCGGAGGATGACTCGACGGCAGTCCGTCGGCGGCTCGCGTATGTGTCTTTGTTGCTTCATTCCAGGCTTGCAGTGCAGCCTTGCATTTATTTCGGATGGGTTTTGGTTCGATGGCAATCGGTTTTGTTCCTCTCTTATTTGCTCGTTTTCCTGCTTTTATCAAATCCGGCTCTGTGTCCACAACTGAAAAACAAGACAGATGCTAACTTCAACACAGAAAGATGTTTATCGGCGGCCTGAACTGGGAGACAACGGACCGTAAGTCTGCCACTCATCGTGCCACAGTCCCATCGGTCAAGACCAGCGTCGGCTAATACACAGGGAAACAGAGTCACTCCGCGATTACTTCTCCCAATTCGGCGAGGTACTCGAATGCACTGTTATGCGCGATGGTCTTTCTGGTCGCTCGCGCGGCTTCGGCTTCCTGACGTTCAAGGACCCCAAGACGGTCAACATTGTCATGGTCAAGGAGCACTACCTCGACGGGAAAATTGTACGTACTGAAAGCGGCAGGGTTAGAAACAACAACGGCAACGATGCCCGAACTAACGTCGCTCTCTTGTCTCTTCCGTCCAGATCGATCCCAAGCGCGCCATTCCCCGTGACGAACAGGAAAAGACGTCGAAAATATTTGTCGGTGGCGTCTCGCAGGAAACCACGGACCAGGAGTTCAAGGAGTACTTTGCTCAGTTTGGCCGCGTCGTCGATGCCACGCTTATGATGGACAAGGACACTGGCCGGCCGCGCGGTTTTGGCTTTGTGACATTCGAGTCCGACGCCGGCGTGGAGGCGTGCCTCTCTACGAACCTCGAGATCCACGGGAAGCCCATTGAGGTCAAGAAGGCGCAGCCCCGTGGCAACCTTCGCGAAGACGACGACAACCGCCGTGGTGGCCCCGGCGGCAACAAGTTCCGCAAGGGTCCGATGGGCGGCTACGACGAGCAAGGCGGCAACAACCAAATGGGCGGCGGCGGCATGGCCGGCGGCATGACGCCCCAGGTCATGGCCCAGTACTGGCAACGCATGCAGCAGTATTTCGCCGTCATGCAGCAGCAGATGGCCATGAACCGCGGCATGGGTGGCGGCAACGCGATGCCCAACATGCAGAATATGCCCAACATGGGCAATATGGGCAACATGGGCAGCATGGGAAACATGGGCAACATGGGTAATATGGGCAACATGGGCGGCATGGGCGGTATGGGCGGCATGAACCCTGGTATGAACCCTCAGATGATGCAGATGATGCAGATGCAGCAGATGCAACAGATGATGAACCGCAACGGCGGCGGCCCTGGGGCTCCCGGCGGGCCCGGCGGGCCTGGCGGGCCTGGCAACACTGGCATGATGCCCCAGATGATGGGCCAACAGCCCTTCCAGGGTGGTCCTGGTGGCGGGCCCGGAGGACCCAACGGGCCGAACAGTGGACGCGGCAATTTCAACGCCATGGACCAGCAGATGTTTGAACAGAACAAATACGAACAAGGCCAGCGTGGTGGCAGCGTTGGCCCGGGTGGCGGCGGTCCTGGTAGTGCCACGGGCGGCGGCGGCGGCAGCAACGGCGGCCAGTCGCCGTGGGGTGCGGGCAATGGCGCCGGCGGTGATGGCTCTTTTGACGACGGGAGCAATGGTGGCGGCAACAACGGCGGCAACGGCAACATGAACCAGCACCAAGGCGGCCGCGGCGGCTTCCTCCGCAATAACAACAACGACATCAACCGCAACGGGCCAATGGATCCCAACAATGCCCCGCCTGCTAACGCGCCGACCGGGCCGAAGAACGCCGGACGGCCTGGTGCGAACTATCGGGGCGGCGGCCGAGGCGGCGGCGGCGGCAACCGCGGTTATCACCCCTACTCGCGGTAGTTGGGCGAGAGGCCCAACGTAAACAGAATGAAAAGAACGGACTTGGAAAAGCAAAGCCGACAGCGGACGCGGCCCCTCTCCAGAGCATTGACATGTGTACCACCAACAGCTTTTACTTGATAGTTTACTTAGTCTGTGTTGTCATATGGTTCTTTATTGAATTTTTTTACGATTTTTTCTTCGTTTTTCATTTCTATTCCAGGTGCTTTTTGTACGAGTCGTGGTCACGTAGGATTATCGTGTACACCTTAGTCTCTTTATAGACCAGGCAGCTCATGCATATATAGCTTTGTAAAACCCTCGGCCGGCGGCTGCAGCCAGTTCTTCTCGTCGTACGTCGTGCCTTGGCCCTCGATAACGTGGAAGGTATAAATGATACGGCCCTTGTCGCTCGTGTTCTTCTCGCTCTTGTGCAGCAGGTTGCCGTGGATCAGCACCAACGAGCCGGCCTTGACCTCGCCCAGTACATATTTGCTCGCATCGTCTTCGGCGGAGGGGGCGATTAGACTGCCCCTTGGAGCAGCACTCTCCTTTGGGAACTGTGGACCTGGGTTGTCGACGATGTGGGTGCCGGTCCGATCGTCCCGACGCATCAGACGCTTGCGGACAGGCGCCGTTTTGTGAGAGCCGGGCCAGAACGACAGGCAGCCGTTGCTCACTGTGGCGTCCTCCAGCGCATACCAAAACCCCACGGCGCTCGGCGGGTCGGTGTACAGAAAGGTGCTGTCCTGGTGCGGCGGCACAGCGCCGCCAATCTCGGGCTGCTTGCAGATAACCATGCTCTGGAGGCATCTCGGGTCGTGAAAGCCGAGGCTCCGCGCGATCGGTCCCACGGGGTGAGCCTCGGCAAATTCCGGGGTTGTGTCCTTGTCTTTGGGGGATGTCACATTGGCAAATACTGGGTTCAGGACGTGAAGGTAGTGGCCGATCTTGTTGACCGCGCGCTCTTTGGGCTTGGCCAGCTTGCCCGTCGTCGCATCAAACGCGTCCTCCTCGAGGAAGAAGCGCACCTGGTCGCCCGACCCCAAAAAGTAGTCATCACCAACATGCTCCTGGCCGTCGTCGCCGCCCGTCTGGAACTTGGTCAGCGGGTGGCCCTCGAGCGTGAAGTCTTCGGCGAGCAGCCGGTGCGTCTCCTGCAGCAGGGCGGCAACGGCCGCAGGCGGCAGCGCATCCGGGATGATAAGGTAGCCGTCACGGTCAAAGGCGGCCACCTGCTCGGGAGAAAGACCCGGCTCGACAGCCATTGTGGGTGTTTGGTGCATGCAATGAGCGTCAGTTGTGACGTGACGAGAACTGCAGCCGGGAAATATAGTAATCAGAGTCAGGACGGCGGCGAACAGGGTGCGGAGTGATGCGAAAACAAGTGAAACGTGTGAAGCCGTTGTTGACGAGAAGCTCTTACCGGGCCAATCGTGATCCACCACCCCGCAATGACCGACAGATGCCGCCTGCCGCCGTTTAGCAGTTGCCTTGGCTCCCCTGGGCGAAAACGGATCTGGCGGTGCACGCGGCTGCGCTAAACCACATGGGGGAAGGAACGATGAGGAGCGCACGAAAGCACATGGTTAAGCGGACAAAGGAAAGGGAGCAGGCGCGACTGGTGAAGAGCGAGACATGTGCGCCCATGTGAACCATGCTCCGTTTAGCAGAGGCCGAATAAGGAAACGACCCACCCCTGCAGCTTATGGGTGTTCTCGGCCCCCGCTCTTGCCTTGACAACTTTCGTTGGGGATCTCCTGCCGGTCCGATATTACTGTGCTCCTTCCAGTCCTACGATTTTACAAAGCACACATTCCTTTATCGTACTGTTCGTGTCCTTTTTCTTCCTTTTTTTTTTTTTTTTAATCTCTCCCCATTTTGACGGGTTTGTTTTCGGCTACATTATAGTTTTGTTTTATCCCCGTCTTCTCAACAACTCGCCACAAGAACATGCGAATCCAGAAGGCTGCGCGCGTCATCCTCGTCGGTGCACCAGGCGTGGGCAAGGGCACGCAGTCCGAGCGCCTCTTGGGTCGCTTCCCTCAGCTTGCGCATCTGAGCTCGGGCGACCTGCTGCGACACAATGTGAAGACGCGGACGCCCCTGGGTACGTATTTTGCCGTATTGTTTGCGTTGCGACTTGCTCTCCGAACCTCGGACTCCGCTAACAAGTGTCGCTTTTCGCCCCCACAGGCATCAAGGTCGAGAGCACCATGAAGGCGGGTGGCCTCGTCTCCGACGACCTCATCCTGCGCCTGATTCGCAACGAGCTCAGCAGCCGCGGCTGGCTCACTCACAATGGCCGCCCACCCGTCATAACCCTAGCCTCTGCAGGGCTGTCCAGTGGCGCCGACCCCGAAACGGTAGCCGACTCCGAGGCCGGCGTCGCTGCGTTCCTCTCACAACAGTCCACACCGGACCCGACAACAAGCACTGTAGCCTCCTCCTCTTCTGCCTCGACGACTGGCCTCTCCGACGACCCCTCTGCTTCCTTCTTGCTCGACGGCTTCCCCCGCACGGCCAGCCAGGCGGCCCAGCTCGACACCTTTGTGCCCATCAACCTTGTCGTGTCGCTCAAGACGCCCTTTTCTGTGATGCTAGCGCGCATCAGCGGCCGCTGGGTCCATGAGCCGTCCGGCCGTGTCTACAACGAGACGTTCAATGCGCCCAAGGTCCCCGGCCGCGACGACGTCACCGGCGAACCGCTGGTCCGCCGTGCCGACGACAGCGAGGCGGTCTACCGCGCGCGCTTCAACAAGTTTGAGGAAACGAGCGCGCCGCTGCTGGACCACTACGCGCGGCAGGGCGTGCTGTGGGAGGTTGAGGGCATGACCAGCGACGAGATCACGCCGAAGCTAGTAGCCGAGTTTGAGCGGCGGTTCTGCACATCTCAGGACTGCTAGTGATCCGTTATAAAACATACGCCAACAAAAGGCAACTGCCAAAGGGACAGAGAACCGGTCTCTCATAATGACGGAACGGAAGGACATGATCTATTACGCGTATCTTGGGTTTGCATTTCTTTAATCATCTTCTCGGGCTTTTTGTTTGCGGTCTTTTGCCGACATTTCGTTTTCCTTTTTCTTCTTCTCTTGTATTTTCATTGGTTGCTTTCTGTGCTTTTCATGGCGTTTCTTTGGCGGCACCTGCTCGGACTCGTCCTCAACAAGAGACAGCTCCTCGAGCCACATCGTTTTATGAATTTCTGTCTCACCTCCCATGTTCCATAGTAACTCTATTTGCGTATACCGACGCCATCTACCAACATGACTGCCTCTCGAACATCTCTTCTCCTCATTGACCTTCGCCTTGGCGGCAAACAAGGACTCTTCTTCTCATGTACACATTTCTAGCCACCTCGTAGCTGAAATATTGAACTCGGACACGGAAACACCCCGAAAACCTGTCTTGTACTCTTTAAGAATTCTGCTGACGCGTAGAATCGACATTCTGCAGTTAACTCCGGAGAAAGAAAATAAGTACTCTGCACGAACACGGCGTGTTCCTTCGTCACCTGTCATCACATGAGAACAACCCCCAGACTGCCAGGATGCACGGACATATTCTGCGCTGAGACCGATTAAGTCCAGATCGCCCTGAAGGCCTGCAGACGGATGGGACGGTTGGTTTGTGTGCCGTTTGTGTCAAGGCGGCTGCTGATTCGTTCCCGGCAGTGCAAAGCCTAATGCAAGGCGCACGGGCTACCTGCCGACACTCTCTATAAACTCCGGTAATCAAAGACGACATACGGACTTGCGCTGTGCATCGTCAGCGCTTTACGCCTCCTGCCGAGCGGCATGCACAAGCTCCGTCAAATGGAACTAATTGGGAAGGTGGCGGCCTTGGCCCCAACAACGACGAGTCGGGCAGGGGCGAGCCTCTGGGACAAGGCGAAGAGGATCCTTGTGTTGAATGCACCTTCCATTAGCATGTAGTTGCCTGTTACTCTGTGGGCCATTTACTGCAGCTCGTCCAGCCTCTGCCAAACCGGCCACTTCTGCATCGCCAGCATCTTTTCGAACGACATCTCTCAAGTATATGCGTACAAACGATACGAACACGAAGTCCGGCTCCATTGAGGAACTATCGCTCTTCTGTGGAGCACTCCATAGTCTATGGCGATGGCTTCTTCCCACTCCTCTGCTTTTCTCTCCGCCATTGATCAAGATGGCTCGACTATATAAGTATAAAAGAGCGCTCAGGATCCTGCTGCCATCTTGCGCGTTCTTGCTACTCATAGTTCATCTCTCAGGCAGTCAAATTTGCTTTCCTTCTTACACCTAACGCTCAATCTCCATTGACTTTGCGCCCTTTCTACACTTCCAAGCATGTCTTGCTACGCTGCCTCCTACATCATGTCAGACCTCAAGGGTCCTGGCGATGCCCGTCCGACTGCTCTCGACATCATCCGTGATGAGAAGCGCGAGAACGCGTTTGTTGGCAAGGTCGCCGTGATCACGGGCTGCTCCTCGGGCATCGGTCCCCCGACTGCCGAGGCTTTGCTGGCCACGGGTGCCACTCTCTACTGCACAGCCCGCGACGTCGAGAAGGCCAAGAAGGCTCTGGCACCCCTTCTGAGCAGCGGCCGTGTGCACGTCCTGTTCATGGACCACACGGACCTCTCCACGGTCAAGGCAGCCGCCGACGAGATCCGCCGCCGCGTATCGGCCATCAGCCTCCTGATCAACAATGCCGGCGTCATGATGGTGCCCACACGCACCGAGACCAAGGATGGCTTTGAAATGCACATGGCCACAAACCACCTGGCGCACTTTTACCTGTTTTGTCTGCTGCGCGACCACCTCGAAGCCGGCTCTGCACCCGACTTTGCCAGCCGCGTCGTCAATGTCGCTAGCTCGGGCCACCGCTGGGCGAAGCCGGATCTGGACGACCTCCAACTGGAGAAGGAGGGCGCCTACACGCCCATGGCCGGCTACGCGGCGTCCAAGACTGCCAATATCTACATGGCCAACGAGATCGACCGCAGGTACGGCTCAGCCACAAAGGCCATCCACGGTTATAGCCTTATGCCCGGCGGCATCCGGACGCCGCTGCAGCGCCATTCAGAGGAGTTTACAGAAGAGGCGCTCAAGAAGCCGGAGCTGCGGCTCTATATGCGGAGCCCCGAACAGGGTGCAGCCACGAGCGTGTTTGCCGCCGTGGCACGCGAACTCGAAGGCAAGGGCGGTGTCTACCTGGAGAATTGCACGTTGGCCGCGGCGTTGACAGCCGACCACGATTTTGCGGGTGATGATGGCATTTTGTACGGCTATGCACCGTGGGCTTTTGACCCGGCCAAAGAGGGCAAGCTGTGGACGAAGAGCCTCCAAGTGGTTGGTCTACCAGAGGACTTCTAAGGGCCTAGCCTGCCTTTAATGTTGACACTGCCAGTCCCGCCGAACAACTTGAGGCAATACAATGTATCCCCCTTCAGACTGAAAGTCACTGTCGTTTAAGTCATAATTTATAAAAGTGTCTACTTGGATAATAATAAACAATTATGTAAAGTAATAGTTGTCGCCATGAAGGTCAAAGAAATGAAAGTGATTGGTTGTCGTCGGTTTGCTGATGGCATGCATAATTCTATGTACTTCTGTACAGGGCTGTCTAAATTCTAAATAGGCAGTAGCTGATCACGGCATTGGCTTAGGTGATCACAGCCTCGTTGCAGCCCCTCCATTAATGCGCGCAAAGAGCCAACGTACAAAACGACAACCGCGCAATCATCAACGACATGGCGGCACCCGAATACACTCGCGTCCAGCTAAACACGCTTGCGGGGCACGAGTACCGCCGCGTGTCAAAGGCACCGACGCGCCCGGCTACCGCGGACGAGATCCCCGTCATCGACCTCGAGGGCATGTGGTTCTACAAGAACAGTTCCAGCAGCACACAGCTTCCCGACACGCAAGGCACGTCAGATGCGGCGAAAAAGCGCATCGCCGCTGCCATACGCAAAGCCGCGACGGGTGCCGGCTTCTTTTACGTCGCCAACTCTGGCATCCCCGACAGCGTGACGGACGAGGCGGTCGCACAGGCCAAGCGCTTCTTCCAGCAGCCGTTGGACGACAAGATGAAAGTGCACTCGCGCATCGACCCGCTGGGAAATGGCTATTCGCCAATCTACAGCAGTTTTATCAACCGGTCTGAGACGAAGGGTGCGTGCGTGTGTGTGAACTGTCCGCATAATTTGATATAAGGTGTGTGGTTGTACTGACGCCAGTTCGCGCTATTCAGACCTCAAGGAGGGCTTCAACTTCCGCTACCTGGCCGAGTATGACCCGATGCACCAGGGCCCCCATGCCGAACGCGATCCTACGCAGTCGCCTGGCAGTGCCTGGACCTGGGAGCAGAAGACAAAGTACCTGTCGGGCTTCAACGAGGCCACCGTCGCCTGGTGGCAGAACTGCCTGGAGCTGTCGCGCGGCCTTGTGCGGCTGTTTGCGCTCGCGCTCGCGCTGCCCGAAACATACTTTGACGATATTACCACGTACCCGGGCTCCGACGGGCTGTTTATCTGCTATCCTGGGGTGGGGAGGGGGCGACGCAGGAGTCAACGAAACAGAGCGACGATGCGAAAAAGGACATTGACGTCGGTATAGGTTCACACACGGACATGCAGTGCTTCACGCTTCTGTGGCAGGACGAAAGCGGCGGCCTGGAGGTGCTGCTCCCGAAAGACAGCGACAGCGGCAACAAGCAAGACGACCCTGTCTACGAATGGGTTGGCGCCACGCCACGCCCGCGCACGCTCGTCGTCAACATTGCCGACTTCTTGCAGCGGCTGTCCAACGACCGCTTCCGCTCGACGGTACACCGCGTCTACAACCGGAAACCAGGCGCAAGATACTCGATGCCCTTCTTCTTCGGCTTCAACTACGACGCAGAGTGTGCCGTTGTGCCGACGTGCGTGGACGAGACACATCCAGCCAAGTATGCGCCGATATCATGTGGCAAGGTGAGTCGTTCATGGTTCCCTCGACATCGTGTCCTGGTAGCTGACGACCCTGCAGTGGCGAGATGAGCGCATGAATCTGGCTCGGACCGTTCCCAGACCAGCAGCAGCTTCTTGAACAATTGTCGATCGAAAGTGAAAGGCAACGGACAAAGCAAAATCGGCAAGCCTTGCGAAACCAACTGTCTGAACAGCCTCTTGCCATGTGCGCATGAGGATGGGTAAGATGGTGTGTTGGAAGAGAGGGTGTCGACCGAGATCACAATGGCACGCGTACAGTCGGATAGCAGAGACATCCCCCTTAACCCATTTTTCTTTTGCGTCGCGCTCCGCGACATGTCTGTATTTATGGAGTCTCCGTCACAAGTCGTAGTTCGCTTGCCAGCCGCCTTTGGCGTCTGCATGTTTCACTTTAAAGCCCGGTCACACGATGCCCAGATGACCCTATGCAGACCATACAGCCATCACGGAAAAAGAAGTGTCTAAAAACGGTAAGGCTTTGGTTCTGTCGACTTTTGTCGGCAAAGAAGCCTTGATCGAGTTGGCGAGCTGTCTTGCATCTGGCTCGTTTGGCTCGTCAAAGGACCCTGCTGCGTGACCCCAGCTTCCCCGCAGCTACCCGCTAGCAACACACTTGCTGCACCTGTTGGGCAACGACTGCGGGAAGTCGGCGTGGCTAGTGGGCTTGTTGCCCTGTATGGAAGTCGTGTTGAAGGTCACTAAGGGAAGGAACGAGCGGATTTGGCGGGGTGGAAGCGACGCAATGCATGGCAGGAGCGACTGTGGCGAAAGCGCCAATCAGGCTGGAGTAGCCCGACGACAGGCCAGTCCCGCCAAGGCTGTCTTCTGTGGCCTGGCCCTTTCGTCACTCCGGCCATCTTCGTTTCCTTGCCCATTTCTTACTTTGGTTTCTTAGATAACTTTGCCGTTCATTTTGGGCATCGTCTGGTTGGTTTGCCTTATTCATCAGCGACGTACCTGCTCCTCCCAGACAGCGAGAAATCCCCGGTCGCACCTGCGAGGCACAGTCCCACGAGGCCTGCCTTTTCGGGTTGCATCGCCCTGTTACAGCAGGTGCTGTGTGGCCGTGGTCGCCGTTGATCTCCAGTTTTCTCTCGCCAGGAACAGGGGGCGGGTCCCCAGTTTTCGTTTTCTGGACTCTCTGATACCCTGCCCGTATTACAGCCATTCTCTTGGCGCTACCCTTTGTCCACCTTCGCTTGGCTAGCATTATCCCTCATTTATCATTCTTTACTTTCCTTGCCGGCATCCTACATATCTGCGCCATACACGGCGTGCCGGCCGTCTGCATTTGTCCGCTGCTTCATCACCATCTTTCCACTGCACGGCATCTATCAACGTATCCCAACGACCGTTCATTCTCCGCTGAGCGGCCACCTGCGTCGCCGACGTTGAACACATTGTTTACGGTCACAATCAACGACGGCAGGCCTTTCCACCATTGCACCAGGCCACCGCTCCATGTACCCAAGCGGACAACGACAGCCTGAACACCTCTCCGTGGGACCTTGATGCTTTGCAAAGACGCTCGTTACATAGGCCTGCCCGAGGACCTACCGTCGCCATGATTACGCGGCTCGCGCATCTTGCGTGTACGGCGCTGGCCGCCTCAACTGCAACTGCTGCTATTGTCGGCCCAGGCGGTGGTATCGAAATCGACACGGATTCAGACTCCGCCTCGTTCTCGCCGTCTCCAAACCCGTTCCTACCACAGCACATTCTCACAAAAACCCGCCTGCCCGCCGTAGAGTTGGCCAAGTTCAACGTCGTCGATGAGTTCCTGGAAGCCCTGCAAGTGATGCAGGACGACTACTTTGAGCCATGGCTGGGCCAGTGGCCCAAGGCCATTGACTGGACAGCCGCCGTCATTGGCACACACGTTGCAGGCGCCCTCAGCTCGCTCTCGCGGGGCTTGACGGCTGAGAGCGGCCTCAAGGAGAAAGAGAACCTGATAATGACATACTTCTCTCAGCTCCTCAGCTACTACTTTGGCCAGGACGCATTCGCTATCCGTAACGAGGCATACGACGACATGCTCTGGGTTGTGCTCGGCTGGCTTGAGGCGCTGCAGTTTATTGACCTTCACACCTCGCTCTACCACCAAACAGCCGCGGACAGCAACACCGCCGCCTCCGACATAATCGGCCTGCGCAACCAGTCGTGGTACGGCAACCTATGGACGCCCGCCTTTGCACACCGCGCCCGCATTTTCTGGGACATCGCCTCTCAAGGGTGGGATGACAAGCTGTGCGGCGGCGGCATGACCTGGAACCCTCGCCTCGAGCCGTACAAGAACGCCATCACCAACGAGCTGTTCATCGCGGCGTCTGCATCCATGTACCTCTACTTCCCCGGCGACGCTAATGATTCGCCGTTTCTCAATGCCAACGACCCACGGGCGTCCGACCCGCTCGCCAGCAGTGCGAACGCGACCGGCCATAGCAACAGCCCACACGAGGCCAAGCATCTCAAGTTTGCCCTTGACGGTTACAAGTGGCTTGCGCACTCGGGCATGAAGAACAAACAGGGTCTCTACGTCGACGGCTTCCACATCAGCGGCTGGAAGAACATCAGCAACCCCAACACCCGCTGCGACCAGCGCAACGATATGGTCTATACCTACAACCAGGGTGTATTGCTGACAGGCCACATTGGCATCTGGAAAGTGACGGGCGACGAACGGCACCTGTGGGAGGGCCACGTCCTGATCCAGAACGTCATCAACGCCACGGGCTACGACCTGGTCCGCGATGGGCCCATTGACGACATTGCCGACCTTGAGCCGGGCCAGCTGTCGCCATGGCGTGGCCTGGGCCGGGCGGGCGTCCTGGAGGACCAGTGCGACGTCGGCGGCCACTGCTCACAGAACAGTCAGACGTTCAAGAGCATCTTCTTCCACCACCTGACCGCGTTCTGTGCGCCCCTCGACACGGCGTACGTCGGCACGCACCCGGACGGCAGCACACAACAGTCGCCGCTCGCGCGCCAACTCTACGAGCGCACGCTGAACGACCACACAAAGGCCTGCGCCGTCTACCTGGGCTGGATCCGGCACAACGTCAACGCGGCCCTGGCGACGAAGGATGCCGACGGCAAGTTTGGCATGTGGTGGACGGCCGGACTGCTCAAGATCAACTCAACGTCACTCGAGGCCTTAGGCGACACGAGCCCCGAGGGTCCCGGTGTCGACTACCGCACATATGGCGTGCCAAATGACGACCTCTGGGTCTCGACTCCCGTTGACAGCGAACTGCCGACGGCACCGATCCTGGACGAGCCGTCGTATCGTGGCGGGGGCCAGGCGCCGTTGACGGGCGGGCGCGCAAAGAGCGGAAAGCGCACAGGGCACGCTTCTGGGGACGATCGCGACAACAGCGTGAATGCACCGCCCACGCTGGCGGGCCATCCAACGGACCCCAATACCCGTGGTCGCGGTCGGACCGTGGAAACACAAGCCGGCGGTCTTGCTGTTCTCCGGTGTTTTTGGGAGATATCGCAGCGTGCATCACATATTGACTTATAAGTTTGTCTTGGGTTTTGGATTTGGACTTTGGATTTGGCTGTTTTTTATTTCATGCATGTGGTACGGTGGCATTTGGGTACAGAACCAGAACGCTTTGTACCTGACAGGCGTTTTTATTAGCGTGTATACTTACCGATATCATCCATACGTTTTGTTTACGAAGCACGAACTCATTCTCTGTGGACCTGTAGTTGACACTAGCCACACTGTGCAACTGTTAGCGGTCGCCTGCAGGGCGCCATTGGTGTACTTGACACAGCGCTCCACTTCTAATGAACTTGCCCTCCCACAACTTTCGTTTTTTTTTTTACCTGCGAGTAAGTTTTTCCGTTCCGCGCCCCCGAAAAGAGGGTCTCTCTGGCAAAAAGCGACTCCACCCAAAAGCCCATCACACGAGAAAAACCCAGAAAAAATTAAGCAGCGCCGGTTGGAAGAAAATAGAGGCTACTGAGATTTCGTGCTTTTTACTCTTCTGTTTTGCAGTGCCCCCCAATCTCGACAATCTCGACACCCATCGACAAACCACGACAACTTCTTCGTTCTCCGACAACAAGCCCCCAAACAGTCGTCAAGATGGCCACCGAGCTTACCGTCCAGTCGGAGCGTGCTTTCCAGAAGCAGCCTCACATTTTCCTGAACTCCAAGACCAAGGTCAAGACTGCCCGCCCGGGCAAGAACGGCCGGAGATGGGTGCGTGGCAGACGATTGCCTCTTGAATCACCCTTTGCGTACTTTTGTGTCCGTTGCTGTTGAGGAGGACCTGTTGCTGACCTGGGTGTCGATAACTGCAGTACAAGAACGTTGGTCTGGGTTTCCGGACGCCCAAGACTGCCATTGAGGGCAGCTACATCGGTAAGTCTAGACGAAGAACGGTGAAGATGAGTGAAGAGGACGACAACATCATCAGGAAGCGAATCGACAACTCTGGCCGGCCGAACGAATAGCGACGGAAACAGCGACGCGAAGAAGGAAACGAGCTGGCGAACATCTGGCGAATGTGACATGGAAATCGTGGACGACAATCGTGGCATTGAAACTACTCGGAGACCGTGACGAAAACTGTACTAGACCGTCATGCGACTTCGAATGGCAAGGACGAACATGAAGATACTGTCGCCAGTCCGTGCAGAAGAACGGAAATCGTTGCAAGGAACACATTCACGTCGCGAGACAAACGTCCCACAGCAACGACAACGGCCAGAGTGCTCGACGTGAATTTCGGCATGATTGACGCTTGGATATTGAACGTTCGCGGTCAACCACGAAGCAGACAACCAGTTGCTAACCACTGGCCCCCCATACAGACAAGAAGTGCCCCTTCACCGGCCTCGTCTCGATCCGCGGCCGCATTCTGACCGGCACCGTCGTCTCCACCAAGATGCACCGCACCATCATCATCCGGAGAGAGTACCTGCACTACATCCCCAAGTACGCCCGTTACGAGAAGCGCCACACGAACCTCGCTGCCCACTGCTCCCCGGCTTTCCGTGTTGAGGAGGGTGACCAGGTCACCGTTGGCCAGTGCCGTCCCCTGTCCAAGACTGTCCGCTTCAACGTCCTGCGCGTCCTGCCCCGGACGAGCAAGACCGCCAAGTCGTTCAGCAAGTTCTAAGGGATGTGTGGCATTTACAAAACAAAAATGGGGGGGACCTATGGTGTTTGGCATTTTGTTGTTTTTTTCTCTCTATCGCCCTATATCAACCTTCCAAAAAACTTCTTTTTTACACACCCCATGACAAACGAAAAAATCCACGCAACTTGACTATCACGACCGACTTTTTTTGTGTGACTTCGAATACAACGGCGAGCAAGGGCAGGCAAGCAACCGACCTTTTGCGGCCTTGGGAGCTGTTACACTTCTCTTATATCGTTGTTTCCCAAGCTCGACTCGGCTAGGAACATGTCCGTGAGGCAGACCGTGGCTGAGACCGAGAAGGAATGACGTGAAATAGAAGAAAGCACACAAAGAGACATGCGGACGGAATGAACGAGGGGATCGGAGGAACAATGACGGCAGAGGAAGGGCGTGAGAGCTGCAGGATTGGGATCTTTCTGTACTCCTCGCCCTGGTGTTTTGTTTTTACTAGTTATGAAACGGGCAAAAACGGCCCAGGGAAAAAGTGATCTGGTAGCCAATGCAAAAAAAAGTAATAAACTACGCGATGAGCCAACGTGATGCGAAGGTGACCTGACATGAACGAACGTTACAGATGTGTTGTCGTTGCGCCGTACTTTGTGCAGAGTCAACTCTTCTATTCAGTGTGCAAAAGCGCCCACGTGACCTTGAAGTTGGAATTTGGGCTGGCACTTTCCGAGTCAACAGAGTGGGGGAAGGAAGTTGCCAATCGCGATAGCGGCTTCGAAAAGCAACTACCAAAAAAACGCCAGCAGACGTAGAAGAGACAACGGTTGCATATTTTCGACCGCAGACCTTCGTATCACGTTCGCCTGCACCTCCCTTCTTACTCGTTGCCAATTGACCTACGCACACCCTTGGCATGGGCTGGTTCGACGGCCTCTTCAGCGGCGGAAGTGCCAGCACCGGCGGCTCCTCGTCCGATCCGTTGGCGAAGCTCGATCCGAAGCTGCGGGATTTCCTCCAGAAAGAGTCGCCGCTCAAGTACCAGCAACAGGAGCAGCAGCAACAGAAGCAGCAGAAATTACAACAACAACGACAAAACGCGACACAGCGACCGCACAACCCATCACAACAGCCGACCGACGCCGACCCATCACAGCCTACCGTTCCCTCCGAGAGCTTGTATCAGGATGGCCGCTATGCCGACCTGTGGAAGACGTACCGGCCACTGGCTGCTGTGGAGGCCGACACCAAGTCCGAGCACGAGCGCCTGATGGATGTGCTGGACGCCTACAAGGACCGACGCGCGCAGATTGGCCGGGCCGCGCTGGAGAACTGCGCGCTCGAGCAGATTGAGTGGAACGAGTGCATCAAACACGGCCCGCTGACCAGCCGCATGACCATGTGCAATGCCGAGATGAAGAAGTTTGAGCGGTGCTACAACATGCAGTCGGTATGTCAATGCTACAGACGAATACGGTAGACTGCCCGTTCACGAGCTAACAAGCCAGCGACTGCTCAAAGCCTTGGGCTATCTCAACGCCTACGACCGCTCGCCCGAGATGGACGAGCGCATCCAGGTGCACGCCGACGCGCTATTCCACCGCATGCTCGAACAGGAGGCGGCCGTCGAAAAGGCCAAGGCGGAAGGCCGGCCAGTACCCGCGGTGGACTTTGCGAGCAACATTACACTTCCCAAGGCCGCGGGACAAGCGGGGGCTACAACGACATCCGTCACGGCTGGTGTGGCATCACTCCCACCCATTGGGTCCGACCCCAGCATCCCCGAGGACCTGCGCAAGCAATGGAGTGAGAAGCTCAGCAAGCTGCCCGAGGCGGAGCGCCCTGCCGAAGAGGCGGCGATGCGTGCAGAACTGGCAGCGCATGCCGAAATGTCGGAGCGCGTGACAGTACTGCGGGCAGCACAGGCGGCAGCGCGGGAGCAACGCAAGGCCGAAGGCAAGGCGACAATCAAAGACCGTGTGTCGGGCTTATTTGGGCACTAGGAAGGAAGCAGAGAAAGAGACAAGAGTCATAAGGACGAGAGAAGATTTTACGAGCAAGCAACTTTTGTATATTAGCAACAACATGCATAAAAAAGAGTGCAAACAGGGGAAACGATATCAACCGGGGCACTTTGGGACACCTGGAGACAAAACTGGTACAACACCATCTCACACCTTTCACGGCATAGACTAAAGAATCACGATCACGCATTGACGAGGCAATTTAGGAGAGAAGCACAGAGTATGAAAGCATGCGAACCGTTTTCTAGTCATCACGTCATGATCACATATGTACACAAATGGTCACCATCGTACAACACTACCAACCAACCTAGGCAGCAATGGCCTTTGGCTTCAGCTTCCGGCCCTCGAGCAAGACGGCCGTGCGCTCCAAGAAGTCGTTGAAGTCGACCAGCTGCTGCAGTGTGCCGCCGCCATGCAAACTACCACTGCCGCCCGACACCTGCTCAGCGATGCGCCGCACAGTCAGCTCCAGATTCGCCAAGTCGGCCGCCTTTTGCTGGGCGGGGGTCAGCTCAGGAGCAGCACGGCCCTGTTCGATCGCCAGGTCCAAGTCGTGCATCGTGGACGAGATGTTGGCCGTCTTCATGGCTTGGCCGACGCGGTCTTGGTGCTGCGCGCGCAGGGCGTCCATGCGCAGGGCGACCTGGTCGCGCTCGGCACGGATGCGCAGGATCTCCTCGCGCAGGGCCAGCTTGCTCTTCTGGGCGGCACGCACACGCTTGCGCAGGGCGTGCAACGCGTCGACGGCGACGGCTTGCTCGAGCAGACGCGAGCGCAGCTCCATCTGGAAGGACTCGATGGCGCGGCGGGCCACAATCGCTTCTTTGCGGGCCGCAGCCAGTTGGCCGTCGTCTCCAGCCTCTGCCTGCTGCTGGCGCAGTTGCTGGTGCTTCTCGTGGAGCGACTGTAGCTTCTGCTCGACCAGGTCTTCGCAGATCTGGGCGAGCACGTCAACTGCATTGACACCACTGCGGTTGGCAAAGGACAGGTCGACGCCACCCGTAGCAAGCTCGTCGTTGTCGTCGCCGTCGTCGTTGTCGTCATCGTCGTTGCCGTTCGCGCCGGTACCGCGGCTCTTTCGCCGCAGTTGCGAAAAGCGTTGCACAGTAATGGGCACCGATTCTCCTTTGCCACTTCGACTAGCTGCCTTGCCAACACCTTCGAGATCCTCCCCCTCCTCCTCGCCGTGGATATCGTCGCCGTCGTGTTCGCCGGCATCATCTTGCCGTCGCTTCCGTTTGACGGATGCCTTGGCGTTGGTTGCCTTGGGCGGCCGTGGCTGCTTCTGAGTAGCTGTGCTTTGCTCCTGGTCTTTGCGCCGCCTACGCTTCGCCGCCGGCCGTGCAGCGGCCACTTCGGGCTCCTCTGCTCCAGGCTCTGTCTGCTTCGGATCCAAGCCAAGCTCTGGCGACGGCTCATGCGCAGTACCTCGCCGTGGTCGCTTCCGTCCAATAGTATTTGCTGCCTCAAGCGCATCGATCTCTTCGGCCTGCGTGTCTTCGTCTTCCTCCGCCTCCGCTTCTACTGCTGCAACTACGGACTCTTTTGCTTTTGCCTTGGCAGGAGGCCGCCCGCGTGTTCGCCGTGGCGACCGCACGGCTGGTTGTCTCGGTGAAGATGTCGGTGGCTGCAATGGCATCCGTTTTGTTGGCCGCGTAATTGGAGAGGACGAGGGAACGACAGACGCACGCTGAATGCGGCTGCTAGTCCGGCCCGTGGCTGGCGAAAGTGGCGGTGGCCGCTGTTGCTCTTGCTGCTGGTCGGGCGAAAGCTCGTCAGGTTCTTCTTCTGGCGCATTCTCTTTGTCTTTTCCATTTCCTTTCCGTGCGGGTCCTTGCGGTGTTGTTGATTCCGAGTTCTGGGACTCGCCAGACAAACGCGACGCTCCCGCCGCGCGTGCTGCGGCGCGTGCGGCCCGGGTACCAGCCGTAGACTTCCGGGCTAGGGGCGAGGAGGACGCGACCGTGCCGCCAGTTGCAGAGTTGTCAGGCGACTCGAGAACGACGGTCAGGGTGGGCGAAGACAGCTCGTCGGCACTATTAGCACCGCTTTCCTTGGACTTGGCCAGCGTCGAGAACACGCCGCTGCCACCTCTCGTCGTCACGCCAGCCTTTTTGCCTTGAATCCCCGCCTTGGTGGTTTCTGCAGTCTCCATTGCGGCCGCGTCAACCCCAACGCCACCAGTTGATGGCACGTCGACCACGGTCGATAGCTCCGGCGACAGCTCGTCCAAACCGCCTATGCCCCTGCGACTCCTTCGCATGGGAGGTGAGGAGGACGCAGGCAGTGGCGAGTTGGCACGTACTTCTGCTGCTGCTGCTGTTGTTGTTGGCGTCGGGGATGAAGACAATGCCGCAACAACTCGGTCCTTGGCGTTCGCTGCGCGGGATCCGCTCGACCGGCTCGACCGGCTGCTGCGACTGCTGCCTGCGTTGGAAAGAATCTGCTGCAAAGCCGCACTCCTGCTCGTGGCAGCAGCACTAACTACAGCGGCAACCGACTGCCGCCGCCCACTCCCAGGTGCATCCACGGGGCTTTCACTAATCTCCTCTTCCGCTGGCCGGTCTTGGGAATCTGTCGAGATGCGCGGTGCCAGCGCTGTCTTGGTTGCTATGGAACCGTGTGCGTCTCGTCCTCCTTCTCCTCCTCCATCTCCTCCTCCCCCTGGTGCAGCACGTCCGTCGTCACTGAGCCGTCTCCTCTTAGCAGACGAGTTGGGTGTTGCGCGCACAGCATCCGTCGGCTGAGCTGCGGACGTTGCTGCAGCAGGAGGTTCGTCCGTGCCCTCTGCTTGCGGAGAGGTGGCAGGTGCGTCGTGCGTCTCGGGTAGGGACATAAACAGGTCAAACGAAGCATCCTGGACCTGGTGTCGTTGCGCGCCGCGCATGCGCTGCTGCATGCGTTCTTCGCGTCCTAGCGGTGTTAGCGCATGGTAAGGCGACAGAGGCCACAAATGAGATGGACCTACTTGATGCCATCTGGGTCAGTCGTGGTGCCAATGCACCGCGTTTCCCAGTGTGTGCGTGGGATCGGTTGTCGTTATGGGTTATCGTGGACGGTGACAATCGCGATATGACTAAAAAAGGGTGGAAGCTGTTGGGCATGGAGAGTATACACCAAAACGGAGCTGCACGTGCGGTTTGACGCGTAATAACGGTTCACGGAAGGAAGGCGCGACGCGGGGATTTGACCACACTGAGGCCTAGCTCAGTTTGTCAGTTTTGGCATGCACGCGGTGCCAAGACCCTTAGCGCCTTCAGGGCACTTCTGTCGCAGCCTGTCAGCCCAAGCCTTGCTGTACTGCTCCGTAATTACAGAGCCAAACAATAATATGTCGCACAGAAGCACAAGGCGTTAGGGCGGTCTTCGGGACTTGAAATGTCAGATCAAGTCTTGGCATCTTCAGCCTCGTATTCAACGTCGCTTACACCATACTACCTCCTAGCACCATTGTTTTCGCTTAATTAAGCAATATAGCCAAACATCGGTTTTATACTCTCGTCGTAGTTATAGTGCAAGCGTGTTGGGTATACGCGAGAACAATGTACTGGAGAAACGACACAAAAAAACAAAATACAAGATGTGAACAGCCAATGCCCCGAACGCCAAGCCACATACACTGAAACAACCAACGCCGAAAATGAAACGTGACAAAGAAACAAAGATCAAGCTTCATCGTTTCCTCCTCTCATGCGCCGAGCTGCATCTCCTCCGCCAACGGCAGCTAGCTGTTCTTGGTCATCATCATTTTCGGTACCCATTCCATTTTTTCGTCGTCAAACTCATGACTATCATGTTAGTCGGAGAAAAGAAACAAGGAAGGTAGACGCTTGTGCCTGACGGGACTTACTCGTGAAAGTCTTTGTTGACCAGCGCCGAGGCACCGTACTCGGCCTCGAGTATCTCCCGGAACCGGTAAGGGATCTTGGCAGGCGCGCCCTCAAACATGGTGTCCCGCAACGGGTAGAGGTATGTGTCTCGGTACTCGTGGCCATCCTTGGACGTAAGCACACCCTCACCGGCCGAATGGCCGGGGTCGTAGCGCGCCGTCGTAATGTCAATAAACAGCCCTGTCTCCGTGTCGATCCAGCGCGCATCAATGACGTTGAGCCAGTCTGAGCGGTCGCGGTTGGTGTAATGTGGGTTGACCTCGAGCAAGTAGTCGCGGCCGTCGGGCAGCCGAGGCGTTTTGTAATGGAAGACGGACATGTTGTAGTAGGCGGCGAGGTAGTACATGCCGGGCTCGAGGACCTGCACGTCAATGTCCGAGTCCCACGGCATAATCTATGGAGTTAGCGGGCAAAGCAGATGGAAGTCGAAAGGAAAGTGGGCGAGAGCTTACCTGCCGATTCCACCACCAGCCGAGCAGCGAGCCATGCATGAGCCAGGTCTCGACACCAATGTCGGCAAAGGTGGACAGGTATGTCTGAATGAGGCTCTTGAGTGCCCGTTTCTGCTCGCTGTATTCTAGGACGCGGTCGGCAAAGCTTGGGAGGTTAGCCGACGGGACGAGACAAAAACCAAAAAGCAGAACATACCGGCCATCATAGTGTGGGTGGAAGCTGGGAAGGAGAAGTTAGTCACGGTCGGAAACGCCCATTATGTCGGCGCACACCTGCTCACATAGATTCGTCTAAGGTAACGCATTAGCCAATTATCAATATCTTCAAAGGGGTCGTCAACGTGCAACTCACGAAAATATTTCCCCGGTGGATCGCCTCCTCGTCCGCTCATGTCTTTGCGCAGTCGCCGGCGTACAGAGTTGAAGTCGGCGTCGGCCAGGGTCGTGCCGACAAGGGCACAGTGGATCATGCAGTTCAGACGCATGGTGGTAGACAGGGTGGAAGACGGCGCTCTGCGTTTGATGCCTTTGATGGAGGATATCGTGAAATGATAAGAAACAATAAAGTCTTGGCAATGAAGAATGGAAAGAACGACTGGTTCTTGGCAGAAGAAAAAGGAAGGAAAGAACGGACGACAGAACAGACGACGAGAAAATACAAACGCGGAAAGCAACCTGAATAATACAGTTTAAAAAAACGTTTTCCGTCTAAGGGAGACGTTGCCGAAAGTAAAGGAAAAAGGAAGGGAAAAAAAGCCAGCGGTGACCCCGACATCCAAAAAATAAAAGGGCAGTCTTCTCGAAAGAAGGAGAGAAGTGCAATCAGGAAACACGGGAGCAGAAAAGCGGTAGATTGGCAGCCAGAAAACAGGGCAGATGGGGATGCCAGAATAAAGCTAAATCAAATAAATCAAAGCAAAAGTAGACGGAGCAGCGAAAGGGACGCAAAGAAGAGACATGGCGAGAACGAACGGGCAAGACGTGATATTGCCATGAAACATCGGGGCTCAACCTTGCCCGCTCACAAGGGATAATTGTCTATTCCTGATGCCACGCTCATTCCTGTCCTCCTGCGACCGCGTGTGTGCCCCTCGCGTGCTCGTCTAGCTTTGCGGATCCAAACGGAGTGATGACGAGTCCCGAGACTAGGAATGCCACAAGTCATTGCAGTGGTGCGTGGATAGTGCGTGGGTGTCAACGTAGTGCGTGCTGGGATACTGGACGGCTGGAGCGAACGGGCATCCTTGACACTGTCGCGTGTAGGAGGGGAGGAACACAGAAGCTTGCACGAGGCGAAGAGACAGGATTAACCTTGCCATGGTATAACCAGTGTTCGCATGGAAACGTGCAAATAGTAGCCGCAACGAGATGCCCCGAAATAAGTCGCCATGTCAGTTTGCTTCGGTCCTTGTTCTCGTGATGACAGAACCCTGCACGCCGCGTCATCAACGAAAATAACGGGAAAAAGCAAGTGGCCGATCAATGCCCTCACTGCCGAAGGACCAGTAAGGCGAATCCCCTTATTTCACCAAGCTCGAGATCAAAGGGCAGCAGGAGGAAATGACTCTCTAAGCATCGAACAGGTGCATACACCCGTCACTATTTATCGCTTGGCACTTTCCATCTTCGTCGTCTTCTACATGCGGATCAAGATCGATGAACAGAGGTGGCCTTCTCTTCGCTTTGACAGGTGTGGATTCACCACTAGTCCCCGCTGTTCGTTGTGTCGTCCCTGTCAGCCTGTGTTCCTGGCGCGATCTAGGCCTGGCTGCCACTAACGCCGTCTAACAGGTAACAAGCCCCGATATCTGATGCCCATTTTCTGATCCATTCTCCTCTTCTGTACATTCGTACGTCGTATTGTTTTCGTCAAAGGCTGAGCTTTCCCGCCGCATGTCATCGTAGCCACTGATTGCCGTTGCCAAGACGTGCAGGGTTCGACCCTTGGCTGTGTTGTGCCAGTTTCCATCAGTTCATCCGTTCTTCTGCAGTTTTGTCAAAGGCCTCTGGATTTTAATTCGACGTTTGCACACTTGCTGGATGCATTTGTTTCGTATTGTGGATGGCTAGTGTGACAACTGTGCGCCGGGAATCATCCCCTTCTGACGCTGCCCACTTCTCGCCTGAAATCTCCTTGTTTTGCCTGTTCGTTTCCCACACACGGCCAACCGCATTGACGTGCATTCTCACAATATTTTCCCTTTGCATCTCGTATGGCGACTCTTCGCGTCAAGTCTGCCGGTTTGCCGTCGTTTCCTCCTCTGCCCCCTTCATCGTACCCTCCCCTCTGCAAACGGCTGTCTCATGTCTTGTGTCTGCTGCCCCTTGCTGTTTTGCTGTTTACTTGCACAGCTGTCTGGGGCTCGTCCTGGCACGGGATCGACGCAACTCCGTGCTGGGCAAGAATCTATTTTCGTCTCTTGTCAAATGGACAATCGGAAACTGAAATCGTACATTGTCCGAAATGTTGTGTCTTGTGTTCTATTTCCTTTTTGGTCTACCAATTCATGTATTCCGTCGTGCTCCACGTCAATACGCTCTTTTCTTGTTTCTCGCCAGACGAGATGACGTAACATGTAACAGCCGTCTCTGCATTGCTCTTCAGACAAGAGACAATGCTTTTGTTCTCGACACTTTGTCCATCCATTGAATATTGAACAGCACCCTTCCTGTTCTCATAAGCCGCTTGGAGACGCCAATGCAATAAATTCTCACGGACGACATACAAGACGTATGGCGCCAACACCTCCTAATCCTGCCCAGCTCCCAGACCTTCGGGTCTCCCCATAGTAGTCTTATATTACCACGCTCCTCGAGCCGCAGTACGGCACGGCAGCAGCACACGATCCTTCACTGAGCACCAGGGTTGGTAGTCTTCATATCGTCGTCTTGGCAACTGTTCGAGGAGTCCAACGCACAACACGGTGTGTAACGGTCAATATACCGTGTTGTATGAGTGCCTGCTGAGACTGTGTGGATTACAGTGTGTGTATTTTTGCACTGTATGTCGGCTGATGAAAGGCTGAGCTAGCTGCTGTGGGGCGCGTGCGAAACAGGAAGCGCCGCACATGGAAGCTGGCCACTTAGCGTCCAGACACACGCGGGCGCAAGCTTAGCTGCGCGGAAGACAACAGTGACGAGTCCTGTCCGCCAGGCAATCGCATTAACGGCGCCTCTGCTACCTCAACGTATTCTCGGACAAAGTCCCTCCTCTGACTCTCCCTTACACAATACCCTCCAGAACCGCACTGGGCGACATGCGGTACATTACTGCATAGAGATACACCACCACACGCACATGAGAACACTGCAACGATGGCCGTTTGGAATGTGAGTACTCTCCTTGCTCGATAACGGCATCGCCATCGATGCCTGGCCAGCTCCTCAACTAACACACAATTACTCGACAGCCCTTCCGGATAACAGGCGACTGCCTGCACCTGCTATCGAAATGCATCCTCCTTTTCTCCATCCACCGCAACCGGAGCGCCGAAGGTACGTTGCGGCGGCGGCGGCGGCGGCTATAGTGGCCCCGATGACGCTGACGGCGGGACACGATGCTCCTGTCTACATATACATATGCATGACAGACACAGACCTCGCTAACTACCTCCAGGCGTCTCCCTCATCACACAGATCCTCTACGCCGTCGTGTTTTGCACCCGCTACGCTAACATCTTAGGCGAGACAATCCCCTGGAACGTGTTCTTCAAGGTCTTCTACATCACCACCTCCTTCTACATTATCGTCATCATGCGCTGGGTCTACCCACGCTCGCGCGAGCTCGAGCTGGCCTGGAAGATGGCCGCCGGTATTGTCGTCGGTGCCCTGCTGCTGTCGCCCTTTGGCATGCTCATCTTTGTCAAGAAGATCTCGTGGGGCTTTTTCAACTGGCTCTGGTCCTTCTCCGAGATCCTCGAGTCCGTCGCCGTCCTGCCCCAGCTGCTGCTGCTGCGCCAGACCTCCATCCCGACCGTCATCGACTCCTTCTACCTGCTCGCCCTCGGCTCCTACCGCGGCTTTTACATCCTCAACTGGATCGCCCGCGCCGCCGATCCCGAGGACGACCCCCCCAACGGTCTGTCCGTCATCTTTGGCATCGTCCAGACCATCCTGTACCTCGACTTTGCCTGGGTCTACTGGACCCGCCAGCGCGTCAAGCTCCGCAACGGCGGCGTGGTCGACGCCGACGACATCCGCCAGGGCTGGCTGCTCCGCCGCATCTTTGGCAAGCACATTGACCGCGCCCATGACGGCGTCGACGACGAGGAGAGCGCGCCTGCTCTGGGACGCTCTGCCAGCGGCGCACGGCGCGGCGCTCGGGGCGGCGGCCGTGGCAGTGCTGGCGGTGCCTCCAACAACAAGTGGGGCGCCCGCGGCATCTCTGTCAGTGCCGACGACACCACCCTGGAGCACGAGCGTCTCTTTGAGGCCGAGCGCTTCGACGGCCACCACAACTTGGACGCGAGTGTCGATCCCGACGCGCAGATGCACGACCCCGATGACCTGGCGCGTGCACTCGGTGACGACGACGACGACGACGACAATGGCAATGCCAACACGGCCCACCGTAACGGCCACGGGGCGTACGCGGATGCGGTCGACGGCGATGACGACGAAGAAGACGAAGACGGCGCACCGCCGCCAGCGAACAAGAAGCGCGGCGCAACAAACGTCGGTGGCGTGCGGAACGACGAGTGGGACGATTAAGAACAGGTTTCTTTTGGGTTGTTTGAACTAGTTTTTGAGGGGAGCAGCTATCGGGATTCTGGATGGGTTCTGCAGGAACAGGGACGTTGTAAACAATTTTTCTCGTAAAAAGAACATACCCATATAATTTGGAAGGCTTTTCGGCTGACTTATTCTTCTCTTCGTCACATTCTACGACATACGTGCGTGTCTTTCTTTTGTCCATCCGGCTGCACCTTAGATCAGCTGCATTTCACGCTTGCATTTTCTTCCTCGGGTCAGCCTTATTACCGTCCTATTGAGCGCAGCTGCCTGAGCTTTAAGATGAATTGTTCTTGTCTGTTCACTTGCAGATCATTTTGGTGATTTTCATCTCGGTTGGTTTAAGCTGTTGATTTGAAAAATTCTGAAAAATGTATCTTGATTTACTTTTTTATTTGAAAAACCAGTGTAAAACCGCAACTCAACCAATATGCGTCGGAAAAATACGAAATAAAATTCAATAAAATAGACCCAATTGTCTCAAATCAGGTATTTCAGTAAAAATATGACAAAGTTCTTTGTACGGTCTCACCTGCAACGAGTTTTGTTGCCGACTTTGACAATCTCTTCATATCGGCAGCTGGCGCCACCTGCCAGGTCATTTGTTGCTGTGCCAACAATCGATACAATGTGGACACCTGGCACAGCTAGCCAATCAGAAGTGCGCGCGTTGTAAACACGGTCAGGTCGCAAAACGGACCCCACTTGCAACGAGGATCGCGACCTTTTGGAATGATACACTGGTCCTCGATGTGAAATTCCATGTAGATACATTCGTCCGTCGCGTCTGCAATTTGTCAAGGCATCTCGCCCTCTTTTCAACCTTTGCTCTCCCCTCTCCTTTCGCGCGGACCTCGTGTACATCGACTGCGCCGTGACGTTCGCCATGGCATCTTCACAAACATCACAAGAGGCTGCATTTCCAGCAACGCGGCGAACGCGTAAATCAACGACTGGCTTCTCTCCTTCCAAAGCGACCGACAAGGAAAACACGAGCATGGAGGATTTTAGTGCACCAGGCGGCCTCGCCTCGACGGCGGCCGCAAGCAAAAAGAAGCTGCGCAGCAAGAGTATGGGGCCCGGTGGCCTCGATGCGCTCAAATCCACATCAGGGAACCGTCGTGTGGTAAGTTACCCCCGGCTCATCTTGCTCCCTTCTCATACGCATCCGTGCGCTTTTTGCTGACATGCGACCTGCGCAGTCCCTTGCCGTCCCATCACGGCCACCGCCACGGTCGATCCTCAAGCCAACCATGCCCATCCTCCCCGACATCCCTCCACTGAAGCCCAAGACCAAAGCCAAGGGCAAGGGCTCGCCGGCCCGGAATGGCGGAGACGACAACGGCACAACGCGTGTTGCTCTGCGCACAGAAGAGGAACAGCAGGCGGCCGCCCGGGAGCGCGAAGAGCGGGAACGCGCCGCGCGAGAAAAGGAAGTCAAGGACCACCGCGAGGCTCGGCGCAAGTCGCTCGCCAACCGCCGCGTCTCCTTTGCGGCCGAGGCTACTCTGCACACCTTCCATGAGATGGACTACCCCCAAGACTCGACCACGTCGACCGACAGACCGGCCCCTTCGCCGGCACCGCCTGGCTTGCCAGAGACGCAATTTGACCGCGACCTGGACCGCGAACTGCAAGGGCCATCCGACCCACCGTCAACCCCACCCGAACAGGTGGAGGATGCCGAAGTCGTGGAATCGCCTCCCGATAACCAAAGAGAAATGCACCAGGCCAAAAACCGGCGCAGCTCGACTGGCGCGTCGGCCATGGGCTTTCAGGGCGCGATGGCGGGCGGCGACGACAATACGATCACATCGACTGTCTACGACTCGGACGGCGGCGACGAGGTGGAGGAGGACGACGAGGATGGTGACGAGATGGAAGACGACGATGTCGCCTCCCACTCGGATTCGGAAGCTGGCGATTCGGACGAGGGTGACGGCGCCACGATGGTGACGGTGGACGCCGACGAGATGACGTCTGCCTCTGTCATGTCCATCCTTTCGTCCATTTCTATGCAGGAGTCCATGTCGCCGATCGAGTCGACAACTGACGTCGACGAGGCTTTACGGCTGGCTACCGAGCACGCCGGTGCACAGGCCGATGAGACGCGCCGCCAACGGCCGCTCGACGAGGATGAGGAAGTCATTCAAGGCTTTATCGGCTGGGGGAGTAAGAAGGCTGCAAACCACGTTGCCCCAAGCGCAGCCGCACCGGCCCAGCACGCCGCCCAGTCGCCGCAGAGCGCGAGAGACGAGGACACGGCCATGTCCATGGACATGGACGTGGATATGGACATGGACATGACCAGGCCCATGGGCGGTATTATCAAGCCCGCACAGGGCGGCCGGCAAGAAGACGAGATGTCCATGGATGTGACGCGTGCCTACGGTGGCATTATTCTGCCTCAGCCGACAACCGACATGGAGTCTGTTGCCAGTAGTCCGATGATCATGCCAGACGACACTCTCGCTGGCAAAGAGCCGATGGAACTCACAACGGGCATCGGCGCCATTCGTCCAGCACAAGACAACGATGCCGAATCGGTCGATGAGGACGGCCTTGAAGACATGTCCATGGAACTCACGACGGTTTTGGGTGGCGTGCTTGGCCGGCCTTCTTTTGGTGCCAATAAGACGCGTCGTCTGAGCCGGCGGCAAACCATCCGCGGCCCCAACGACGACGACGACGATGCTCCCATGGACATTACACTTGGCGTTGGTAAGATCTTTGCGGGAGGTAACGGCGCAGCAGCCCAGGAACAGAAGGAGAACGAAGACAAGCACGAGGATAACGACGACGGCGAGGCGGATATGGACGAGGCTACGATGACAATGGGCATGGAAATCACTACTGCACTAGGCGGCATCCTTAAGCCGGCATCACCTACAAGAATACGATCCCTGGCTCCCGCATTGCTCCCCGCGCTCGTCAACGGCGCAGAGAACACGGAAAACACACAAACACCTACGCGGCCGCGCAGGAAATCATCCTCTCCACCCAAATCTGTCACCCGGTCGGCAACCAAGGCTAATGCCACGGCCAGCCCAGGCTTGTCTGCTTTCACAGGCAAGGGCATTCACCGGACACCTTCTCGTGGCAGTGAAGCCGAGGGACAGCAGTCCGCACGACCTGTCTCCTCATCTCCAAAGAAGGGGCCCGAGCCCGAGCCTGCCACTAAGCCGAGCAAGACGGCTGCCCAGCCGGCAACACCTCAGAGATCCTCACCGGTGCGCTTCATTGGCAGCTGCTCCAAATCGCCCAAAAGAAAGGCCGCCTCGGCTGAAAAGTCTACGACGCCTAAATCACCACCCAAGGCCTGCACTGCATCTTTCTCGAAATCGCTTTTCTCGCAGAACCCGTCGACTGGCGCCACGGGCCCACCTGTCGTTTTGACACCCCAGGGACGTCGCCGGCAGACTGCTTATGCTGGTGCTGGGCCCTCGTCACCCAAGATCACCGAGATCTTCAGCCGGAGATCGTCACTTGTCGATGCGGCCTCTGAGTTTGTGGTGGGGTCCGCCCAGAAGGACCGCCCTGCTGTCTCGTTCGAAGAGCCGTCTCGCCAAGGCACACCCCCCGACGATGACGCGACAGGCTCTGGCCCCCTGGACGACCGTGAAGCCACTCAGAACCTCAAAGACCTCATCCAGAACCTCTCGCCCAAGAAAAACCCATTAAAGGGCCGCAAGAGCCTGCATGTGGGCAGTGCCAAGGGGCTTCTGGGCAAGCGGCCCCACGAGTTGGATGAAGATGACCTCGACGATGATGACCTCGAGAGCCAGAACTTCGTCAAGCGGCTCAAGGGCGAGCCCAGCCCTGTTAAAAACGTCCGGCTGCAGCAGCCGCCCTCCATGATGGAGACGATTGGCCGGTCGTCTCGCTCGCGGAGAAGCCCCTCGGCCACGCCGCTGGCCTTTGACGGCCAACAGCAGAGCACAACACCGTCCAAATATGGGTATGCGTCCAAGGACCTCAACTTTGGCGACGATAACGATGCTGCTGGCGGAGAAGCCGTGGCCGAGGACGAGGACGAGGACGAGGTCGAGGATGACGCTGAGCGCATTCACCTGCAAGACTTCCTCAAGCTTGCCAACATTCACTTCATGGAGCTGGAGACGACCAAGCGGCGGGCCACCGAGGGTCCGGGTGCCTTGCACAAAGACAGTGGCAACGGCCACAGCCGCCTCTCGACCGACGAGGACGGCAAGCCCAAGGATCCCGAGATCGAATCGCTCGTGACAACGATCTGCAAGGTGCCTCTCTTGGAAATGTACCAGCATGCGTGCCGCGAGCTGAAAAACTACATTGAAGAGGGCCGCTCCATTATGCGCGAAATCGAAACGGAGACGTACGAAGACAACCCGCCCATCTTCCGTGAATATACGACCGCTACACCCGAGATGCGCGCACAGATGGACAACCAGTTCAAGAACATCAAGATCTTTGCACGTCTGCAGAGCAAGAAGCAGTGGTACGAGTGGCGCACCAAACTGCACGAGGGCCTCCAGGAGGGCATGCTCAAGGTGCTCCGCGACCTGCAAAAGGACAAGGATGTGCTGAAGGAGCGGCGCGATAAGGTCGACGCTGTCTACCCTGCGCTGCTGGCCGAGTACGAAGCCCTGGAGCGGGAGCGTGTCCAGCTGGAGGCCTTTGCGGCACAGCTCGGCGGTGACAACCAGGAGGCCCTGATTGCAGCCCGCGTCCAAAAGAGCCGGCTGGCCGAGAGCATCGAGGAGCACAAGGGCGAGACGGCGCGTCTCGAGACAGAGGTGAAGGAGAGCAGGGCGCGCGTGGCGGCGATGAAGACGGAGCGCGAGCAGTATCTAAAGGAGCTAGAGGAGGCCAAGCGGATCCAAGAGGAGCGCCGCAGCTGGAGCCACCAGGAGATCTCGTCGCTCAAGACGCAGGTCGACGCGCTCGAGAAGAAGAGCGGCTGGGCCGTGACGGGCGCGCAGGGCACGACGCTGTCCATGGCCTACCGCCGCGAGATTGAGCTCGTCTTTGACGTTGCCGCGTTCCGGCCCGGCGTGCAGAGCAACGCGCAGATCGACCTCTGGTACATTGGACACACACGTACGCGCGACCCGCAGCCCTGCACGCCCGAGACCGAGTTTTTCCTGCAGTGCATCCGCGACCACGTCCGCGGGCTCAAGCAGGCGGAGACACACCCCGGCAGGCTGTTGAAGGTGGTCCGTGCGAGCTGGGACACGGCCAAGCAGGCGGCCAATCAAATCCGCCACCTGAACCTGACGTTTCCCACGACAACCACCAAGACGTCCGACACGTCCATTGCTGTGGCCGTCAGCATCCTGCTGGCACCGCTGCGCACCAAGGTCGAGGTGACGCTGCACCTGCGCAGTTTGGGCTCCGGTTCCGGTTCCGGTTCCGGTTCCGGTGTCGACTCCAGCAGCGGGGAGAAAACGGTGCGGGGACTGCGCATCGCCGTCTCGTCCGAGGCCCGTGTGGTCTATGGCGAGCCGTTCAATGCGGCCAAGATGGGCGAGTTTCTGGCGGCGCGGATCGGCAAGCGTGTTGCCACGGGCGCGGCGGCCACAGCCGTCGCCAGAAAGAACAAGGGCAAGCCGGCTGCCGGCTACTTTTGGGTGGACATGATGGAGGAGCTCAAGGCGAAGCTGCTCGTGCGCGGCCGTAAACTGGTGGCAAGGGACTGATTGGACGGGATAGGGATAGGGATGGATGACTGGCATGGTACGGACTGGAGTACGGTTTTTATTATTATATCGGCGTTGGTTTCGTCACGTTGCACGTCTGCTTTATATTCTTCATATTTCAAAGATGCATTACCTTTTCTGTCTTTGTTGTTTCGGGCCATGCAGCCCACTCGTGATTCTGATTCTGCCAAGCAGCGACTTCACAGCCTCTCCCCGACCATCGGGGCTGGCTCAAAAACGTAGTGAATCCTCCTCGAGTTGATTTTTTACTTGCGACTGCATCTCGACGTGAAGTCAATGTGGCTTAACTTTCGTATCTTGCTCAAGATTTCATTCACTTGGCTCTGCCAGTCCGCTTGCCGAAGCGTAGTGAATTTCATGCTTTGTCCTGTGACGATGTTCCTGCTACATACCAACCACGCAACATTTCATTCACTGTGTTGCATCTCCGTATGTGAATAGTATCATATTCACACGATGTCTTCTCTTTGATATTCGCCTCATTCATCCATTCATTCTTTCGCTCGTCCACCTACTCTTTTTATCCAGTCTTGTCGTTTATTCACTCATTCGTCTACTCGCGCTTTGCATTCATTCGCTATTTTTTCCATCCACCCTTTCGTTCTAACACTCTTTTGTCCATTCTCTTTCGTTCCTCCATTCTGTTCACAGACGGCTGTCTTCACTCCGTAGCTCAATAACCTGTCACATCCTTGTCTGCCCGCCTACTGCCGTCTATTAATACAAACAATGTCTACTCTTGCGTGCCCTCAAATGACATCCTGTTCTTGGAACCTTGCAACTTCGTGCTGCCAAGTGCCTCGGCGCCGGCATACAGCACCAACTTTGCTGTCCTTTCACAGCCCACAGGATCTACGCCCAGCTACTTCGTTGCTCCTTCCGCCTCCGGTGCTTTCCACTCCGGCAGGAACGCACCTTCTTCGCCGCCGTGCTCAGCACCGGCAGCCAACCTCGTCGCCAACTGGCAAGAGCGACCGCCCTTTTGCAGACGTTGAGGAGCGGCAAACAGGCCCACAGTCTGTCTGGCTCAGAGAAGTCCCGTGAGGCCTTTAGACTTCACTGCCAAGGTAAGCTACCCATTGTTGTGCTATTGTGCTATTGTGCTCGTTGTGCTGGCCTTCCATTCACTACACAACGCCCCGCTTTTCTGAACAACATCTCGCGATGCCAACATTACCTGATTTGGAAGGGACGCGTCTTCACCAGCGCAACTTCCGTCAAGAGAGGAAGGAGCAACCTGCCAAAACGCGCTCTTGTTATGCCAGCCGTAGTTGCCATGACAGGCAAAAACTTTTCTCGCCCGAATACATATCTCTGCTCTTCCCCCCGCCCCTCTCCTAAAAATTTCTCTCCTCTTCTTCTTCTTTCAAGCCATCGCACCCGCTCTCATCGAACTCGCAACTTTTACCGACATCTGTCTCCAACTGTTATGTTACCAGTTCTTTGCCTTGCTCGTCCGACCGCTATTGCCCTCTCACACGCCATCTCCTGCGTCTTCTCGACTCGACGTCTTGTCTCCGGACAATTCTTCCTCTCTTGCAGCCAGATTTGGCCTGTCACGGCCTCCCCCCATTTATCAGCTTAGCAGCTTCGTCTCTTGACGTTAAACGATCGACGACGGTCTTCTTCCCATCTTCTTCTTTCTTCTTTCCGCTTTCATCATCTTTCTTCTTTCCGCTTCCGCTCCGCCTCTGGCAGCCCGTTCGACAGGCTGTTCCTCGTGGGTCTCGAAATTGTCTCGTGCGCCTTTTCCCAGCGTCCCCGACGTGGTTTTACCGACAAGAATAAAAGGTCGTAGCGAACACTTCGCCCATCGCCTCGCACCGACGGCTCGCCGACCTCGTCGCATCTTGTACAGCGGACACTCTTGACCCCAGACGGTATGCGGCTTGTCCTTTGCTTCTTTCCGCCTTTATCTCTCCCTGTCACAACTGCTAACCATCTTGGTCTGTTACAGATTTCTCGACAATCACTGGCATCAAGATGATCGTCCTTGCCATGATGGCCGCCGTGTGGCAGGCCCTCAGACTGCTTTGTCCCGACCTTCGGGTCGTGATGGATCCTCTGTCGGTCATCCTCATGGCCTACGCCTTCCTGCCCCCCTGGTCTTGCGTTGTTGTCCCGGCTCTGGTCTACATCCCGGTCAACTTTTGGCTCCGTGTCTTCCTCTCGCGCCGGCACATTCTCATCGGCCTCGCCTGCTGTGCTCTCTGCCTTGAGTACCGAGTGCTTACCGGAATGTCGCCCCCCATCATTGGCGGCCTCGAGACGTTTGTTCGGGATGCGTTCCTGGATCCGTTCGACACTCTCGTTGCTCCGTTCGTGGAATCCATCGACGATGGTCTTGTGGCTATCGAATTCTACGAACATCTGGAGGAAGACATGGAGGCCATCGCAGACTTTCTCGCCTACCTGTTGCAAAGTTGCATCGGTCCCGACAACTGGTTCCTGGCCCTCTTCCGCTTCATCGGCCAATTCTTCGCCTTTGTTGCCCGCTGTGATGACATGGCCTCCCATCTCGCCGAAAAGATTGTGGACGGTGGGTGCAAGCTCACCAGCTCCTACGCCTTCTGGCTTGTGGCTGGGCCTGTCTGTTTCCTCTGCCTGGTTGTCCCCCCGATTCTTCGCTAGCAGCGCAAGAAGAAGGAGGCCATCCTCGCTGTCCAGCGCCGCGCCAACGAATCGCTGATCGACTTGATCGAGCAGCAGCAACAGGTAATGGTCTCGACGGACTTTCGAGTCAACGCTCTTTCCGACAGAGCCGCGACCGTTCTCAATACCATCTGGTTCAATGTCTTCCGCCCTGGCGCAAGACAGCTTCTTCGCTACGCCGAGTTTGACTGTCTCCCTGTCAGTATGCTCGCGCGTGAACCTTTTGCTATCGAAAACGTCACGTTCCAACTCCGGCGTCTCCTCGCTCAGCAACTTGGGCCTTCCATTCCCAAACCGCTTGACTTCGTGACCTTTGACCCATCGGCTACCTTTGTTGCCTTGCAGACGATCCTAGATCGGACGCATCGCGACTTGGCGTATTTGGTGCAAGAAGAGTCCGACCTGAGTGCCGAGTTGGACCGTCTCGAACAATTGTCTCGACAGGTTCTCACCGCTGCAGACGAAGGCCAACCTTATGGTCTCCGTGGGTGCATTACCTGGACGTACCAGCACTACCTCCGGGCCGCTCGCTCATACGACGATTACCGTCGTACGAAAGAGCATTACCCGGATGTTTGGTACGTAAAGACTTTTGACACGTTCTTGATCCACACCGCTGCGCACCCTTCCCGCTGGCCGACCGTGCAGCCGCCGCTTCTCCCTCCGCTCCCCCCCTCGACTTCATCTTATCCACGCCCGCCGCACAGAGATCCTACTGACGTTCGGTATCGCAGCCGGACGTCGGCAGCCTCTGTCGACTTGGTCCTGAAGAGCGCGCAGCGTACACAATTGGCCACGACGGGCCTCCCCAATGGGTTTGCCAAGCATCGCCTATTGACCTCGCAAGGCTACGATCGTTCCGAGCTCTCTGGTAAGGAAAACATCCCCGTCTCGGCTGAGGATTGGTGGTAGCAGCACCATCTTCATCTTGACCGGGTGTTTAGCCCCGTCACAACCAGTTCCAGCAACGACAACGGCCTTGTCGAGTTGTCCGCAGACCGACCGAACCCAGTCTTGGAGCCTGTTGTTGCCCTCGATGGCAGCGCTGGCGTCCCCTCCGACAGCGAAGATCGCGCGAGCGACCAGGACGGCAAGACTGGCGCTACGGCGTCTGCCCAAGCAGCCCCGGCAACCTCCATCGAGAACCCGATCGAGATGGAGGAGGTGCCAAGCTCGGAATATACCGACTTGGACCTTGTGCATCCGCCCCCACTCCCGCTCCCCCCGTCGCTCCTCGAGTCGCTTGATGCGCTCCCTGTCTCTCTTCCTCCCCTGCCGCCTTCTCCCTCGTCGTCGACCCAGTCTTCGTCGTCTGAGCTGGCCGTCAAAGAGCAGACCCACGGCGCTCGGGTTGACCAGAAAGCTCTCATGGCACCACCAGAGAAGCCAACCGACACCACTCCGGTCCCTGACCCTGTGGCGAAGGCGGCAACTCCGTGCCATCATCTTTTTGAGTGGGCGGCACCGCAGCCCTACGAAGATGGCAAGTGGCCCAAGCGTTTCCTCGCGGGTCGTCCTGAAGGCGGTTTGCGGCAACGTGAATCGTCCTATCGCCGGCTCGCCTCGAAGAACAGCCGCAGGGTCGTCAAGACCCCGGCCTCTGTCTATCGTCCTATCAAGGTCGACACAGCTTCGAATGCTGAGCCGCTTGTCTCTCTGCCTGCCCCCGATGCCATTGCCGGGCATCCTGTTAGTACTGGCTTGCCAAACCCCTCGGTTTCTTCTGTCTCCCCCGCCAACGTGTGTCTCCCGCCTTCTCCCGACATCATCGCCACTCCTGACGCTGGCGACTGCCAGCCGGAGTTCATGGACATCGAGTCCCATCCAGAGCCACACGAGACAGTTGACCAACTTGACCTGCCGATGGTCACCCCGGCCGTTGAGTTGCCAGATATCCCATTGTCCCAGCCGGCCCCATTCCTCTTTGGCGCAGAAGCCCTCGTCAACAGCAACCCTGCCGAATTCGATTTTGACATGGGCGACATTGACGTTGGATTGATGCCCCCGGAATTGCCGTTGCTGCCTGATATTCCCGATGCCGATCTTGACGCATTGGTTGAGCAGATCAACAATGGGAACTGGACCGAGTTTGAGCAGGCCAATGCCGCAACTTGGAGCGCTCTGCTTGCTGACCCCTTTATCGACGCTTCTTTCGGTGCCGACATGGTGGCTCAGTTGGACCTCGCATTTCCAGAGCCAGAAATGGCGACGGATCTAGCGCCCCAGCCAGTGTGGGAGCAGGAGACACCCGCCTTTGACGTCAACTTGCCGCTTTTTGAGCCGCAACTTGCCCAGGCGCCTCTTCCTTTCGAGGCGGACCACCCTTTTGCCATGATGCTTGCAGAATGGCACCAGGAGAATGGCACTGTTAACTTTGACGTTGCAGACGCCAGTGGTCTGGCCCCAGCACCGGGTGTCCCAGTGGTTCAGGCACCAGCGGATATGGCAAATCCGCTTTCTGCCCCAGCAGCCACCGAGCAGATTCCGCTTCCAAGTGCGGAGGAGGACCCATGGCTTCCAGTTGCCGGGGAGTCGACATCGTCCGCGAGAGAGGTGGTCACACCTCTATCGCCGGGCCCCATGCTGCACGACCCGTATCTGGAGGCCATGTGGACGACCTCATTCCCCATCGATCCCTTGATCGACACCGCTCCTGCGGTGCTGCCTACAGTGACAGGTGGACTATCACCTGCCGTCGACAATGTGGAGGGACGTTATCCCGCGTCCACGTCCAAGCCGAAACCCGAGCCACTCCCAAAATCGCTTCCTGCCGGTGACGAGGCGCAGTCTGGCGCAAGCCAGCCCCCGACCACCGCCGCGAGTTGCCTCGACCAAGCAAAGGAGGTTCCCAAGGCAGTACCTGCAAAGGTAGATGCTGACTCCTCTGCACGTCCGTCTCGCAAGCAGAACAGCAAGAGTAAGGGCAAGGTGAAGGACAAGGACACACCAGCCGCCAAAGCCGAGGTGAGCCAACCTGAGAAGTCCAGTGCCATCGCTGGCCGGATCATCAAAAAGGCCTGCCCCAAATGGAGGCGCGCAGCAGGGCCTTTGAACCCATCTCCGGTTGCTGGTGAGGGATCTAGCGGAGGGACGAGTAAGCCCGTTTCGGCGGTTCCTGCTCCGACACCGACGTCCCACGATGGGAAGGCTGGCGCTCCGAATAGCGAGAGCCCAGCATCATCTGCCAACGATGGCAACGACGAGCCGCTGGTCGAGGATGACAACTTGGAGCAGCCGCTGTTTGCACCCATTCCCTTGGACATTGCAAACGCGGCCCTGGCGGCGGCATCTGCGATTCCGAACTTTGCCCAGCATAATCGGATTTGCGACGACCGTTTGGTCTTGATGCTCATCGACCCCACTGTCCAGGAGTACCTGGATAAGCTGGACAAAGTCGTTGACGTCGGCTCTTTCCAGCTGGAACTCGAAGATGGCGTTGATGAGAGCTTACCCGAACAGTGGAGCGGTGCTGCAAGGGACGAGATGGCTTTCATCCTCGACCCCAAATGGGAGTCTTTTGACACCGATTGGGACTCTTCGGGTTCCATTCTGAAAGAGCTCGCCACAGCTTGGCTAGATGCCGTGACAGCATGGCCCGAGATCAGTCGCTTCAACCCAGAGGCTCTTCGGAGCAGTCTGTTGGCGGCGCTGGTTGACGAAGGCCTGCTGTTATGAACAGCCCAGGTGGACCGAACTGAGCGGTAAGTCTTCGCAAGCACCAGCTTTTTGTACCCTTTTCGCTATTCAACCATCGTGCTGCCCTTGACTAACATCTATTGCACTCGCATGCAGCCGGATGTCCGTGCCTCTTTTCGATAGAAACCCACCCCCCGTCCATATCGATGGACCGCTCCGCGCACCCCGGTAGACGACGCCTCGAGTATTTCTTTTGCCACTTGCGTCTTCGGATTCTGTTCAGCTCGGGCTTACTTCCGACCCCGTTGTCGTCGAATCGTTGCAGCAGCGACATTTTGTCGTGTGCCAGCACCCGTTCCACGCCTCGCGTGTGCTCGATCCTATCTGACAGCCCGTCTTCGCCAGAATACTCGTCTGGATGACCTCCCCTACCAGCTTTACATCTAGTTCGACTGCCAGTTGTTCGGCCATTTCTTTGGTCAACTTCTCTGCCATCTCTTTGGCCAGCTCCTCTGCCTCATCGACCAACCTGCGTTGTCTATATTCTCCAAACTCCTCGACCGATTCTCCGAGCAGTTTGACCTCGACGACGACACATCCAACCCCCATCTGAGGCAGATGGACCGCTTCGCGCGTGAGCAACTTTAGCTCTTTCGCCATTTGCACGCCGCATCACAACCACACTCAGGCTGTGGCATCTTGGTTTTGCCATCTTAAAGCATTCCTGAGCCTTTGGCACTTCGCCTTTGCCAGCTCGCCATTTGCCTATCCGGTTTTTCTTACCCGGTCCCGGCATGCATTTCGGCCTGGCTGGATCTGCCTTTCACTTGGAGCAGCCAGCTTCTTGAGCTCTTTTGGGAGCGGCCCCCTCTACACCTTCTGGACCACCCCTTCTGGTCTCTGCGCCGCTCCCTCTGCGCGCGCGCCCACGCTCGATCTACCTTGTGCATTCATTGTCACCTCTCCTACCACTTCTGGGCGCTTGGACTCTCACACTCCGCCCTCGCACAAGCGGCATTTGAAGCGCCTTTCGAAAGTCGCCCGCCTACCCTTTTCTCGGCCGGTCACTTCTCGGGCGCGCGCGCAACTCTCGGCCTTTGGCATGCCCCTCTCCTCTCTCTGGAATTGTTGGCAATGTCGACTCTCTCCCTTTCCCGGCCTTCTGACCCGGCTGGGGCATGCATCTCCGCTACACCAACTCGTCCTGTCTTCAACTTCTTGCGTTTGCATTTTACGTTGCTTTTTTGCTTTTGGCGTTTGGCGTTTGGCGTTTGGCGTTTTGCACTTCTGCGTTTGCATTTTTTCTGCTTTCGGCGTCTGGCGTTCGGCGGCTGCTTTTTTTGTCTGGGTTTCTTTTTGGAAAACCTCCTTGTGCAGAATGAATCTTGTTGCCTGGGACATGACCGGCTTGGAGGTAGGGGGAGGGCGTCGGACCCTAGTGGCCCTCACATTGGGAGCCGGGGGAGCTTGCTCCCTCGTACCTCCTGATAGCACACAGTCTGGAATCTCAGCCCAACCTAGAGGTGATCCTTGTGGCGGGCGAGACCAGGACTGAGGCCGTCTGATGTGCTTGGCTTCCCAGCGGCTACCACGCCAGAAAAACCCCACCACTACCAGAAGGGGCAGGGACACACCAGTTCACTGTCACGACAAACGCAAGTATCACCATCTCACCACAGAAAAGCGGCGGGTTTTCCGGCCCAGGAGGCATCCTGCGGGGTGAACCTCCTGGGGCCGGTTTTTCCCTAAAAAAGTAAGTTGACGGCCTTGCAGTCTTCCACTCCAAGGTCTTCCCACCCCTCGCAGCGTTTTGTTTACCACTTTTTGTTTTCACGATTGACATATACTAACAACGGTCATCTCAAATACTCGGCTAGGTCTCATGGCGTTTCTGTGCGCAAACGATCTGGGAAGAAGTGCAGGCACCGATCGGTGCTGCTGTAAGTCAGCATTCTGTACGATTTACGAAACATTGATATTCATCGTTGACTAACTCTTTTTCAATTACAACGGGTCGGATCGAAGAGCGACATGGGACATGCGGGTGACGGAACGGTTAGGGTGCTGGACGGTTGGGTGATTATATTTAAGTTTACCGTTTTCTGATCTTTTCGTCTGGCTCTACGAGGCGGAGATGACTTGGGTAGGACGGAAGCGGGATAAAGGGGGGAGTTGCGGATGGAGAATAATAGAATAAAAATGCACGGATATTATTTGGACGTCACCCAGAGACGTGGTCATCGAGACAATGTGAACGATGCCGAAATGTAACGTATTGTCCCACATTTTGTAGACATGACATGAAGTTGTAAGTGTGGTTTGTTGTTGGTCGATCCTTCTTCAGCCTTGTTCCTTAATAGCGTTCCATTTAGCGCGATGCCCCACCACCACAGGGCGCGTTCTCCTTAATTGCACCTTCCCAACGTCCACGTACCAGCAGCCTTCCCCTGGCCTGAAATACAAAGACGTGAATACAACAACAGACAGTGCATGCATTTGGGAGTGAAGCGGCCCCTCCTCACCCAAAGATACGCGACAGGAAGATTTGTTGCCATATTTGCGTGGCCGCGAACAACAACACGCCCATCGCGCCATGGACGCGTTTCTCGCGGCAGCCTTGGCGCCAAAGACAAGGGCCAAGCGCAAGTCGACACCGTCGATGCATGCTCGGAATGACAGCAATGAGAGCGACAACAACGGCCGTGGAAGCGGCAGCCGTACGGGTACTACGAATGACGCGAAGCGACCGCGGCCACGGGGTTCTAGCCTAGCCACGGAGACCAAGGCTGAGACCGAAGTGAAAGTGACGACAGAGACGATAACGACGAGGACGAGGACGACAATAGAGGAGGCCTCTGGGAGGACCAAGGCAACGGCGTCACTAGACGGAACGCAGAAGCCGACGATGCTCTCGTTTCAGGACACGATATCGGGTCAGAACACATCGTCGTCAGGCCCAACAAGGACGCGATTGATACTCGACAAGGCCATCGCGCTGCAGGACAAGGGCCGCCTCGATGACGCGTATAGCCTGCTGACGCGGGCCCTCATTGCGTGCGTCTGCCATGCGCAGCTCCGAAGCCAGTTTAAAGATGCTGGTGTGCCTCTGGACGCCATCGACCCTGTCGGCCAGTGCTCTTGCCGGGACTTTGTCGCCATGGCCCAAACGCGGCGGCCACAAACAATGTCTCGGGGTTTTGGCGCTCCCACGCCCGGAGAAGGAGAAAACATGCCGTTTTCCATCTCCGAACTGGACCTGGCGGCCGTGTACAACTTGGCTACAAGAAACCCGGTGTGCACATGTGGTTCAGGGCGCCTGCGTTGCACAGAGCCCGACCACTTGGCCGCGCTGGACCGCCTGGCAGCTGTGGCTGGCAAGTTGGGGCGCCACGAGGACGTGAGCCGCATCGGCCAGTGGTACATGGACCTGGCTCCCCAACACGCGGAAGGTTACCTGCATGTGGCCAAGGCAGTGCTGGCGCTGACGGCGGCCAAAAAGAAGGATGGACGCCTGAAAGACGATGTTAGGCGAGAACGCGAGCAGGCCCGCTTCACGGCGCGCTGCCTCTACACGCACGGCCTGCACAATGTGCGCGCCCACGGCGACGCCGCCGGCGACCTGGCCCAGGTGCTCGCGCGCTGCTGTCGCCAGTACAGCCACGATGACTACCTGCCAGACCTGCCCGTCGAGACCGTCGAGGCCATTTTCCGGCACCTGTCGCTGTCCGACATCCTGGCATGTCGCCGTGTTTCCAGGCGGTGGGCGCTTGTTCTGAAGCGTGTTCGTCTTCGGCCCGCCCAGGTTCGCTTCCATGGACGGTCTGAGGCTCCCGTGAAAGGTCTGCAGAGCCTCCTGCGGCAGATGCCGGACCTCAGAACAGATCACCTCAGCATTAACTTTGCGTATTCTCGAGATCCATTGCGGACGGCACGGTTTGCCACACTAGCCCTCAACCATTTTAAGGATACGGAGAGCCTAGAGCTATGGACGTGGCCATACAACCAGTTCGTTTCGAGTTTTGATTCGATCGCGCCGACAGCACTTGTCACTGTCACAGACGGCAAAATAGCTATCGAGGCTCGCCTCGGCCCCGCGCCTCTCCCTCCCCTTCCTACCGTGTCCAGATGCCGCAAATTAACACTCCACGCCGTCAAAAACAACGAAGACCTGGCCGTGGCGAGATGCCTTGTCCCATGGGCCAGCCAGTCCCTAGAGAGCATTGAGCTAAACGGCTCATTCGCGGGTGGCCCATTTGCCTTTAGATTACCTCGTCTGCGACACGTCAAGTTGCTCACCAGTCATTGGGGAATCGACAAAACCGGCTTCGAATTTATGGCCAGCGTCTGTGGGGTGTCGACGTGCCTCCAGCAGCTGTACCTGGACGACATTACTTTTTTCATACACCGCAATATTCCAACCGCCGCCGAGGTCGAGCTTCTTGGACGGCTTACGGAAGCCTTCCAGCATTTACATACCCTTGTTATTGGACCTCGATGCCAGCTTTCCGGCTCGTCATTGCTGCCAATGGGCATTGCCAGCTTTGTTATTTTCCCTCCCCTGCCGCCAGGTCTGCGGTGCCTTGATATTATGACGGACAAGGAGTCTCTCGCTGAGCGCATAATGTTTGGTGACGGCTACGACCCAGGACTCACGACAATTATGACGGGCGGTGTCGTCCGTCCACTGCAGCACCTGGAGTCCTTCCGGTGTCTCAGTCCTGTCGTCAACCCTGCGCATATGTTCCAGCTCATTGAGCCTAGCCTTGGTGTCGCCGGCTGCCTCGCCCACCTCGAACTCAATGTCCGCGATTATGCTTCTGCTTTTATGCAAGACCTTCCACCTTGCCGGCGGATCCCCTTCCCCGAGCGTATTCGCACGATCGGCCTCTACGACTTTAACTGCAGCTCGACGTCTGCTGGATCGGATGTCCTCATTCGCGACCGCATCTTCCTCGACTGGGTCCGCCAGTTCCGCAATGCCGAGACCATTTCCGTGTATCCCGCCTGGCGGCACGCGGCCAGGGCCAATGACGGGGCCGAAGGTGGGCGGTTTGTCGTGGCGCTTGTTGAGCAGGCGCTGCGATATGCCGCAGCCGACGCGCGGACAGCTGCTGAGGCCGAGGACAGAAACGAAAAAGACATTGACATGAGCCGGCACCTCAAGCTGCGCACCATCTATCAAGGGATGCTGCACGGGTCTTGGCAGCAGCGGGCCACGAAACTGATAGCCGGCCATCCCCTCCATATTCCACCTGGGCATCTCGACTACCGGCCACCCGTCTATCCATGGCCGGACCGGACGGACGAGGTTGCCGAGAGGGACAGCGATTTATGAGAGTGACGAGAAAGTATGAAAGCATGATCAGCAGAGATTACGCTTTAGATACGTTCTACGTGGAAATGAACTTGTGGACAAGAAAACTTCATCAAATTCGTGAATAAAACAGCCGTCATCGTCAAATGCAGAAGCGCCCTCGATGAAAAGGGGGATGGGAGAAGAAAATAGGGGCAAACCAATAACCCAAAATAAAAAGCAAGATCGAAACCAAAAACACACACAGTGCCATTCAACCTCCCCTGTTTGTGCACACTTGTAATTACAATTACCTCCCGGCCCCACCTCACGATAAAGCCTCCACTGCAGCCGTCTCTGCCGTCTC